TCATTAATAGGATTTCGAACCTTGAAATTGGGCAATCAGGTTTATCTTTTTTTTTTAAATCTCTCTTCTTTTTTTTTATAGAAATCAACTGTAAAAAATATTTTCATATCATAGATTTGCAATCTGCTCAAATTGATGCAATTTTTTGCTTATTTTAAATGTCCGTCAAAAAAGTTTTGTGATTTTAATATCGTTGCTCAAACTCTTATATTTTTATATATTATTATTTTTAAAGTACAGATACATGCGAAGACGCAGCTGGAGTATAGGAGAGAGTAGAAACCAGAGGCAAACTTAGTTTTTGCGCCTTCTTGAGATATGATGTTAGATTGAAAGAAGTTTTTGGAATTTTACATTAAATAAGATTTCGCAGTTATAAAACATATTTTATAATAGCACGTAACTTGAAAAGTTCATAAGTTTCCATTCTATTCAGTTTAAAATTTAACTGCGTATTTTACTATTGAAGTTTCCATTACACTTTTAGATGTTTTTAATAGCGTTAATCGTCCATCGTTTTTGATTTAAAGCTAAGTTTTTATTCTATAAGCATTCTTCATTCAATATATCACCAAACTGCTAAAGTTACAACCTATTAAGATTTTTACGTAAATCTAAAAAAAAATCTTAATGAGTTATGGCACCCAGGACCTGATTTATTATAAGGTCTTTCCCAGAGCCCACAAATTTCTGCGTGCCACCGAAATCCAAATATCTATAAATATATTGTGTGTTTTTCCATAAAAATTGTTTATTAGAATTATAAGCTAACAAAAATTCGATTAAATATACGCTAAACTAATTAATATATGCTAATTTACTTATGTTATAATTTAAAGGCCTTTTGTTGAAAAGTAACACGCAAATTTTGTTTAAAGATACAACTGGCAGGCCACCCCCCCCCGACAGCTCTGGGCCTACAACCCTCAGATTTCTAAAAAAGGCCCTGATTGCAGCCATAATTAGCGAATAAAATTGGAGATATTTAAAAGAGAAAGAAAAATTATCAAATTTATTTTTAGTTATTTTTCGTGAAATCAGCGTCGCTCTAAGGAGTTATTTTTTAACATGATACCGTTTAATTTATATTCGAAAAAAATAATAATGAATTTCATTGCTTGATGGAACATGTTTTTAATAAACAACAATTATCTGTTTCTCCTAGCAATCAAACGTGCTGTGGTGTTAGTAGCTTCATCTAACTTACATGCTTTGTAGAGATTTGTTAGGATTTCAAGAGCACTTTTTAGGTTTAAAAATTAATTTGCTATGCATAATCATTTTAGATAAGGATTCTAGACTGGAATAGTCTGGCTGATAGGATATCAGACTCATGTTCGTGGGTTAGAATCCTGCTGGGCGGAGAATCCTCATGTATTAAATGATAACTGCTGCACGTTAAATCTGTCGAGTCACAAAGTCCTCCATGTTCCCTGAACAATAACTCTGGGGGTACTGAATTGGAGATTGATCGTTCTCTAGTTAAGGTCAAAATTACGATCTGTAGATGAATGAATGGAATATAAATGGGTCCTCCCCTTAAAACGGGCTGTGATGTGTGCGTGGCTAAAGTTATATTCTTGACCATAGATGGCGCCACTGAAGAACAAGAAATGCACCCCGTGTCTTAAAATCACTTGGATTCTCATAGCAGGCCTGCTGGTATTGACAAATGGAATTAGTAACAGCAACAACAGATAAGGATTCTAAAAATATTTATCAAGTCATAACAAGCATAAATACTAAAACCCAAGCCATGAGTTCCAATTTTTTATTTATCATGAAGTGGAAATTTTCTTATTCTAGCATGTTTTTTGAAAGGATAAACTTAAGAAACACCATCCTGAAATTTCTCAAAAATCAACTTTTTTCCAGTTGCATTTTTTTTAAATATTTATAAAAGTCATTTCATTCATTTAGTCATTTTGAAGTATGAATAAAAATCATAGAAACTACTGTTTCTGCATCAAATTTTGTATCACTAAAACGGCAGTGTTTTTAAATATCAATCATGTTTCCAAGGAAACTACATATTTTTAACTTCATTTTATGAATACCTTAGTAACGTACCTAACTACATTTTCATTAATCAGATTTCTAGACAACAAAGCTATATTCGGAATGATGAGTGTGTTTTTTGCTATTCCTCTAACATTGAATTTTTAATAAGCTTTCGCGATTTAATTTTCAGTGCGAAAAATGGAATAGTGAATATTTTAAACTTATAGGAATTCAAAAATATGGACATTGAAACATTTTCAAGACGTATTGTAGTGACAAGGCTGAGCTTGATCGCAACTGTTAGTGTTAAATTATGGATCTAGTTCAGCCTTGGTAGGGAATTCAATTATCCAATCTTTTCAAAAACGTTTAATAATTGAGGTCTATAAGAGAATCAAAATAAGCTGAAACTAATTTTAAAAACAATTCAGAAAAGGGGTGTTTCTTCAGAAATATTAATATTCAATAAAATTATTTTTTCATTATTTCACTAAAGCTTCATAAAATCCTTATAAACAATGGCTGAAAACTTTCCTCATTTTATTCCTATAAATTTCACCTTTTTTTGAAGGGAAATGAAGGTGGTTAAAGGGGGATAATTGAATATCATTTATACAAGCAAGTAAGCTGGAAAACAAAACAATCGCACCCCTCGCTTTAATGGCCCACGACAACAGCAACAAGTAAGTAAGGTATCGTTTCGGATGCTTTTTTTTTCAATGCTGATTCGAATGAGACCAACCAACCACAAGACAATCATTAGTATTGAGGGTATAAGTATTTTATGTACAAATAATTACAATTTTGTACTTGTACCTATTTCTACATCTAATATTGCAGCTATCTGGACAAGTGAGACATTGTTTCCTATGTATTGTATTTTTTTTACACTGAATCAAATTAAAATATACACGATTCATTAGAATGAATAGTTCAGAAAACACTTAACTTTTTATGCATAAAATGTTCAATTTTTTAACTGCTTTATGAACAACTTTTAAATTTCCAACCAAGGACAATCAGAACATGTGAGTTATATTTTCTAAAGTAATGTTTCATCCTGAACTGAATGAAAACGATTACAACAACATCGGACTAATAGTTGAGAAGTTATAAGGGATTTTATGGGGATAGAACAGTTTTGTACTTATAGTTTAATAAAATTAGACATTTTCTTTAGAAAAATATATTCCCACAATTTTTTTCATGGACATTATTGTTATGCCATTATAAAAGATATCCGAAAAATCTCATATTTTCCCCAGCATGCTTCACCCTTTCTTGAGGAGAAATGTGGATGATTTGGAGAAGGGGAGCATTGAAGATACTTCAAGCAAATATTTGCTATTTATATTATAAATACCAAAGTCTGATGCATAAATAGATGAAAGTAAAAAATTGTACATTATAAAATTATTGCAACTCCAACACAAGTGATCCGATCGTATTATGATTGGTTTCATTAAACTCAGCATGAAAAATACACCAGGAACAACACCTCACTTGCTTGTATAGAAGAAAATCAATTTTACAATTTTTTAAAATTTAATCAATTTTAAAAAATAAATATGTGTATGCCAATTCTGGCATCACAACCCCTTAAAAATCTCATCCCATTTCAATCGAAAAAGGGAAACGTGTACAAAGGAGTCTTATGACAACAAAAAGCTTTCTATTAAAAAAAAAAATTTCTTGGGTATTAATTTTTTTAAAGAAAAGTTTAATTTTCTTGAACTATTAGACAAACTGGTTTTTGATGGTTTTAATTCCCGATTCCTTTACTTTCTTAACGATAATTAGTATTATCATAAAAAACGTTTTACTTCTCATTTTCATATTAATTTAACACTCCCTCAATAAAATTCCTTTTTCAGGAGGATTCTAAAAATATAAGATATTGACAATCGGAATGCCTTTCTTACATTTAGTATTTCTAAAATCCTTGTTAAAGAAGTAAAAAAAATTACACAAAAGAGGTAACTAATTAATTTTTAAAGAAAAAATAAAAACATTTTTTATATCTTAATGAATCAGTAGGGAGGAAGCCCAGCTAAAAATATAAAAACCTGTTTGGTTGCTGGATGATAAAAATAAAAGGGGGTAAAAAGCGAATATTAAAGTCACTTTCATGTTTCATGGAGCACTCAAACAAATTTTAATGTTTTTAATTACGACTTCTTTAATAGTGTTTCGTTAGATTTTGATAATGTTTTTACTTTTCCTTTTACATTAATTTGTACCCTTAAATGTATTTACTGTTTTCATTTCATTTCTGGAAAAATTTCTAAAAACATATATTCTGAACCGTGATTAAGAACACTCTGAATATATTAAGACCAGTCATCGTAGATCATTCTGTATGTGACCGTTCAAATATTAAACATGCTTTTAGCAATTTTGAAATCCTCCTTTTCCCTTGTCAGCAAAAATATGCAAATCATTAATTCTTTCTCATGTTCACGCAACACAGTTGAAACACTGTTTTTTTGTCTCTGTTCCCTCTGCGTTTTGCTGAAATTTTGATTTAAAATGTAGAAATCTAGTTTTAGGAATAAATTCAAATAAAATATGTAACAAATTTTACATTTTAGTTCATTTTATAAAATTCTTAGTGTTTTCCTTCTGCAGTCAAAATTCTTGACCTCTGAACCTTTTTGAAGAAATTTTCTTTCATTTTTCCCCCCGAATTTAACTTTAATTCAAGTTTGAAGATTTTCCAATTGTAATTTTATTAGTTACATTTTACTTTTACATATTCAAAATTTAAAAATAAATGAGTTTTAATGAATTACGTAAACATTGTTTATACCCCCTCCTACCTGGCGTGTAAAATAAGCCAATTACATACCCCTCCACGTTAGATGCTTACATAATATTTAAACAGCTTCTATAAGCTGAATATATATAATTTTTGAATTTAGATAGCAATCGAAGATGTCAATAAAAAAACATGCACTTGAATTGTAATCAGCTAATTAAAAATAGACAAACAAAATTAGCATCAAAATTATTTTTTGGAATAAAGTTGCTGAGAGACACACTTAACAAGCTCAGTGATGTTAAAAACATGGAATTTAACAACACAAATCTTTCATAGAATACATTTAATTCATAAATAGATGCAACATATACAAACATGATTATTAAAACAATTTAACTTTTACAAACAAAAATATACCTACAACAATAAATTATTTCATGACTACAACGTCATAAAATTAGCTAAAAATTAATGCAGTAGGCAAGACTATTTACAGCTTTGTTGAGTGAGGCAAAAAAATAAATAAGGGCAAATAAAAACTATAAATTGCTAGGAAAATCAACTTTGAGAATAAATGTTCGAATTTCCATTGGTTTGAGAGTAATTCTCATCTGGTCATCTTCACTGTCATTTACAACAATGTCTTGTGTTTCATCTGCAATTAAAAAAGGAGAAATATATTAATAAATTAAATAATTAGTAACATCATTGCCTTAAGACACATCCAGTTTACTTTTAAATAAACAACTATGTATCTATACATTAAATAAATGTCATTGCGATAAAAAAGAAAGCAAAATATTTGAGCATCATTACAAAGAAAATACCAAGCTAAAGTCAATTGGATATGAAATATAACAATAAGTCTAAATATTCTAGTCAGACAAAAATAAACTTCAACATGTGAAATTTAAAAAAAGTGAAAATAAATTTTAAAACAATAAATATTGTTTTCTTTTAAGGAAATGGATTACATATTCAAAATAGTTAATAGTTATATACAGTGAAACCTCCTGTTATGGACACTCCTGCAAAACGGACGCCTCTCAATACGGACATATTTTTAATTCCCCGGGAATCTTCTATGAATAAACCATTACGTACATTCTCTGCAAAGCGGACACTCCTGTAACCGGACGCCGACAGTCATTTTGATCATGTAACGTTGTTTTTTATCTCTACAAACCGGACACTACTTTTTCTAAATAAATTGCAAGATAAAAAAAATGAAACTTTTCACCATTTTCAAAGCATGTAAACAAAACTTTTTGCCTTATCCATAACAAAAAATATTGTTAAGCTCTTTCACCACCGAAAAATCAATCTTTCTCCTGTCACCTTGCCTTATCTTTGTAAAGAAAGGAGAGAAAATGGTACTGATAGAGTCTCAAATACNTTTCATCTGTAATATACGGACAAACCTAATATCACAAATTTTAAACTAACCTAAACTTTAAACTCTTAAACTAACCTCTTAACACTAAAAATAGTTATATTTTATTTTGTAGAATATATAATATATATAATTAGAATATATAATATAATATCTCTGATAGAAAATAAAGAAAAAATAATATACCTCCAGCAATTTCATTAACTTCTTCAGCAGCAGGTTGATCACTTTGCAATTCCCCATGTTCATCATCATAGGCAACAGACCACTTCAGCTTTTCAACTTCATAAAGATATTTATTGGCAGCCAGTGTTGTTTCTTGATAGTATAAAACCCTGAATGGTCTAAAAAGACTCTGAAACAAGACACAAGAGATTTTTACAAATAAATAAATAAAAATCTTAAGAATATTGTCAGTTTAAATCATAAAATTTCCAATACAGAGAAATCTGTCAAGTTGACCACTTAAGTTGACTTCGATTTTCAAGAATTGAATTTATATTAGGGATTAAAACCTTTGCAATCCGACCACCTGCCTATCTTGTAAGTTGACTGCTGAAATTTTCAGTCAGAATTGTAATTTAAATTTGTCTAGGTGTATTAGAAAAAAAATATTCTAAAAGCTTTATACATTGACCACAAATGAAAAAAAAAAAAACTCTCTTACAAAAAATTTGTATACTCTAATGTTATATACAGTCAAACCCCGCTATAGTGAACATGGTTTATAGTGAACGAAATGTTCGGTCCCGTGCTTTGCTATACATGGACAATGTTATTTTTCGCGGATATAGTGAACCAAAAAAGTGAGGAAGTTGGACATAGTGAACTTTTTTCTGTCTTCGACTGAATTTTTAAAAAAAAATTTGTAATAATTTTGAAATTTCTACTTCAAATTAAATACCATCTATAGAGGGGAATGTAGCGATAAGCATTTTTTCTTGTTTGTTTCTTTTATCTCTTTCCCATCCCTAAAGAAACCAAGCAGATGTTTCCAACCCAGGCAGACGATGCACCTGTGAGGTGTCAGCGTAATCAATATGCATTTTTTTCAGAGGGAATGAGTAATTATTTATTATTGGTCAAAGAGTTGGACACTAATATGTATTGATAAGGCCCTCATTTCAACTCCTTTTTGCTCTCAGTTCAGTTAAAATAAATCCTGCAAACAAGTGTCTCAAATTTAACTATGGCTAGCAGTAAACGTAAAACGTTCTCCATTGATGATAAAATGGGCATAATCAGAAAAATTGAAAATGGATGCAATCAAACTGATACTTGCAGGGAATATAAACTATCCAAATCTGCAGTTTGTAACATATGGAAAAATAGGCCATTAATAATTTCTGCTCATGAAAAAAGTTTAGATGGTGAAAAAAAGTTGAGAAAAGCAGATCACAAGGATAATGAAGAAACATTGCTGAAGTGGTTCACCAATCGAAGAAGCTGCAATCTTCCAGTATCTGGCAAATGTCAATGAATTTGCTAAGCGATTTTATGAGACTACTTTTATGTACTCGAATGGCAGGTTAGACAGGTTTAAAAAGCGGAATAACAGAAATTCAGGAAAAATTATCTGAGAGTCGGGAAGTGTTTCCATATCTGATGGTGAGGATTGCTCATCAGCTAAAGATTAAAAAAAAAAAAATTTGTATGCAAGACGAAGAGTAATGAAAAATAACAATTTTCTTGCATCTACATAATATTTTTCGGTCTTTTATTTGAATAATATGTAATAAAAGGGAGGAGTTAAGGAACCATTAGTGAAATTGCCTGCGTAACGGATATAGTGAACTCCCGGTTACAATGAACCGACACTTCAGTCCCTTGAAGGTTCACTATAGCGGGGTTTAACTGTATTAAAATTTTGTTAAATTATTGAAATATGTTATACTGGAAGTTAACACAAAAGAGATGACTATGTAAGAAATTATTGCGGGTTCTTTTTAAAAACATATAAGTAGAAAGTAAATCATTTTTAAAATATTGAAATGTGTATAATGTAATGTTTCATAATAGCATATATGTTTTTGTGTATTGATATTAGAAGAAATTNAGATATTTATTAGCAGCCAGTGTTGTTTCTTGATAGTATAAAACCCTGAATGGTCTAAAAAGACTCTGAAACAAGACACAAGAGATTTTTACAAATAAATAAATAAAAATCTTAAGAATATTGTCAGTTAAAATCATAAAATTTCCAATTCAAAGAAATCTGTCAAGCTGACCTCTATTTTCAAGAATTGAATTTATAATAGGGATTAAAACCTTTGCAACCTGACCACCTGTCTATCTTGTAAGTTGACTGCTGAAATCAATCAAATTTGTCTAGGTGTATTAGAAAAAAAATATTCTAAAAGCTTTATACATTGACCACAAATGAAAAAAAAAAAACTCTTCCTGTAAAAATTTTTATACTCTAATGTCATATATTAAAATTTTGCTAAATTATTGAAATATGTTGTATTGGAAGTTAACCCAAAAAAGTTGACTATGTAAGAAATTATTGCGGGTTCTTTTTTAAAAACATATAATAAGAAAGCAAATCATTTTTAAAATATTGAAATGAGTATAATGTAATGTTTCATAATAGCATATATGTTTTTGTGTATTGATATTAGAAGAAATTATTTGTAATAAATAGCTGGCATGCAAAACTAACAGAATGTGCATATAATTATTTTCTACATTCAACAGTTTAATATTAAATTTACATATAAAATTGCATTTCTATTTATAAGTCTCACTTCTTAAAGTATATGTGATATTAAATAAAGTTTTAAAGTCATAATCATGTTAAATAAATTAAAGACTTTTTTTTAAACTTTGATAAGAAACATCTAAAAAAACAATGAATAAAGCAATCAACATAAATAATGAGGCATAATTTTATGAAAATATCTCATAAGATACCACAAAAAGGACCAAAAAACCATCTGTAAGTTGACCACTAAAACTATGCACCACAATAATTGGTTTACATATAAGTGATCAACTTACACAGATTTTGGTGTCACTGTATCAAAATGTAATTTTAAAAAAAATTAAATTGGACAGCTTTATTAACAGTATAGACAAAAATAAAAGTAAAAAGTGTGATAATATCCAAATAATGAACTCTTAAGGATTCTACCTTTATATTTACTTAAGGTTACCTTTTATATTTTTTTTACAGGTTTGAAAATTATACAATTTATATTTAAGGTATTCAAGACTTCTTTCAGTTTAAATTATCTTGTTGAATAGAAAGGAATGGGTTTAATACCATTTCAGACATTTAAAACTTATTAAAAATCATCAGCTATGAATAAATAAAAAATTATATTTCCGAATAAAATAATAAATTATTTGAATTATTTTAAATTTTTGCAAATATTATGTAACTTTTCAAATGTAAAAAATTTAGATCACAAAAATTTTTTTATTTAAGAAAATCAGTCCTTTTGTTATAAAAAATCCGCTGAAAAAAAAACAGTATGCATTGTTTTAACAAATACTTTTAAAAACATTTAAAAATTTATAAATCTGCTTCACATTTAAACAAATTTATTCCAAATAATACTTGTCAATTTTTTCCATTTCTACCATAATATGCATATACTATTTATTTAAAAATTAATCATATTCTGAGAAATTTTGCACTTTGAGTAACTATGTGAAGAAATTTACATTTCATATTTAAAAAATACACAACAATTAAAACAAATCATAAAAAATCCTACATTTAATGAAACAGTGACAGCTCTAGACATTTCAGCACCGTCATCTTTTTCATAATAATGCTCCAATCGTAATAAAATTCTCGAATCATCCAATTGTTCCAATGTTAATAGATGAACATTTTGAGGTAATCTGCGTTTCAAACCACGGAACTAAAATACAGTAACGTGTAATAAATCAAATTACTAAGATTAAGCCTAGCGTGTCAACAAAATCTTTAAAATAAAATGATTGAGAAATAAAAATAAATTGCATTTAAAATTGACTTTAGACTAATATCAAATAGCGTGACAATATATTAACAGCTGATAAATAAAACAAAATTTCATAATGTTTTATAAATACATTTCTAACAATAATAGCAACTATTACTTTAAAATGAAAGTCTGTAACAAAATATTTTTAAGAAGACCATTTACCTTTACAACTAATAAAATGAATTATTCAGAATTAATAAACAATAAAATAGCTTATCTTTTTTAACTAAATTTTAATGCAATATTTAGCAGCCAATTTTAAAAACAAAAGTATTAAAATTTTTCTTCTTAAAAATTGTTGTTTAGTACTGATTTGGTATTTTTAACTACTGAAATAAATTAACTGATTAAATATAATACTAACGTTATTAAATTAATATTATTAATTGATAAAAATATACAATTTCCCACTTATTTTAGTAAAAATTAGTATGAATCTTCAAATAATGAAATACATTTCATTAAGTAATAATAAAATATATTAGTCAAATAAAAAACTATTTATCAATAAGCAAACTAAAATTTCTCAATTGCCTAACAACTGAATTTGAAACATTAAAACAAAAACAATAAATTCGTAAACTTTTGGCACAAAAAATATCAATCAACTTTTTTAAGCAATGAAACAAAACATTTAATGCACAGTAGAAGCCCCATTATCCATAATTTTCAGAAGACTAGAAAAAATTTGATTTGTTAACTAATATAATATTTCAATTAACTTTTATGTTATCTTTATCATTTTTCTATAATCAGCAATTTTGATACACCTTTGTTTTTTTATAACAGTGGAGCATTTTTTCAAGTAAATATTGCATAATGAGATAAAGAAACTTTTATCATTAAATAGTGAAAATAGATGGTATGATACTTTTTCTATTGAAATAAAAAATCATACCTCATTTAAAGCAGTTCGTGACAAATTTGAAAACTGAAGTTTTGAAAAAGCTAACAGTGGTTGATGGAAAATAACTTTAGCCAATCGTTTATTGAACTGATTCATTTCATTTATTGGACCCAAAGTTAAATAATGTGATCCTCGTACAACTAGTCCCCTTCCATCAAATCCAGGTTCATTCAGAGCTTCATTAACACCATAACCATCATCAAAAAGGAGACGTCTGTGCACCTAAAATAATAATTATAAATAAACAAATTAATTATTCATTCATACCAAATATATTATTTTTAAATAAACCATAAAAGACTATGGTTAAAGTGTAGAATCAGGGTCCCTAGGTTTGGTGGCAAATTTCAGTTGTAAAATTTTGCTGAAATTCAGTTTCTGGCGTCTTTTTCTTGCTCTCTCTGCTTTTAATGAAATCAGCAATGCATTACCATAATTTTTATTAACCAATATGTCATTGATTCTTGGTTTATTTCATATATATATGTAATAACAGGGCTCCAACCCTGTTATTAGTGTTGTNATACATAGGCAGATTCATTGACCAGTTTAATGACACAATAGACAGATGTGGCTATACTAGGTGCAACTCAAGGAAAGAAAAAAAAAATATTATATTTAGGGCTAAACATACTCAAAGGAGCAAACCATACACTAAAATTTTTTTCAAACGAGAGCTTCTTCAGATTAGCATAATATTTGCTTTAAATTGTTGTATTATTATCGCTTTCCGTTTGTACTATATTTTCTCTTCATTTTGATTGTTATATATATATATATTTTTTTTATTTCCAATGGCCATGGTAACAAAAGACCACTCACCACAAAGGGAGGAACAACAAAATAAACAAACACAAACAAAAATAATGTGGCAAGAAAAGTCTATGAACCCAATAAGTCTCTTGCGCGCCAGATTGTTATATTGTTACCTCTTTGATTGTTGTATTATTGTCTTTTAGTTTCATAGTGGTCTCTTCGATCAAAATAAAAATTATCTCATTAACTAACTAATTTGCCTTAACCTTATTTTAACAAACAATCATACACATAGAATTATGATTAACTTATTGAACAGTTTAATGAAACAATAGCCATATATGCTTTGCTTTAGTAGATGCAACCCAAAGATAATTAAAAAAAATATTAAGGGCAATATATACCCAAAAGAGAGAACCTTGCAACGAAACTAAGCTTTAAAACAAATATTCTTCAGTTTGGCATGCAAGTTTGATATTTTTCAAATATATAATTTTCAGACTTTTCAAACTATAAAATAATGTTTTGCATAAAAATAAATGTTTTTTATTTATTAAAAATTTAAAAGGGTAAGAGAAAAAACTGAAAGCAGTCTGAATGAAGAGATGAATGATCAGAACTGAAAGTCTTATTTATATGGTTTATGTGCACCAAAAATACATACAAATAATTTATAAAAGCAAGTACTAAAATTTAGTTTGAAATATTTTAAAATATTTTTTTGTCTTGCAGTATATTTTTTTTATAAAATAAAATATTTCAATCAGCCTTTAAATGGAAATAGCAATATTTAAGAACAAAATTGTAAGATAAATATGCAAGATTAAAAAATAATTATTCAAATTAATTTTTTTCCATCCAATATAATAAAAGTAAATGTTAATAAGAAATAGTAAAAATAAATGTTTGTAAATCAATAAATGAAAATAGAAATGCCATAAAAAGTATTTTGGATTTATAAACTGATTATATTAAATGCCAAAGTTAATGCTGCTTTCATAGTAAAATATATAAAGTTGTGTACTGTATTGCACAATGCACTGTAAATTGCATTGTGTACTGTAAATGCACATTTCACAGTAATACACTATGCAAAAAGAAAACATAGAACATAACTTGTCAAACCACTTTAACCACTAAAAATTGTTCCAAAATAAACATATTAAATATTTACACATAAGAAATTTTATATAGTAATTAAAATATTACAGTAGAAGATACATAAAATGCAAGTCTATAAACACTAATTCTCCATAAACCACATTACACTAGCTTTGTGGGTGTACATAATGAAATTGGCAGTTAAGACATTTCAAAAGAACTATAAACATTTTACAAAACTTGTTCAATTATTTGCTCAGATGTTGAAATTTTAAAAGTCAAGCAAACCAAAATTTATTAATTTTTTGTGGCTAGTTCTAAATGCAGCTGAAAATTAAAAACAAATTTCCGTAAATAATAAATATGTAAAACACTTTTTTTAAAAGTATTTGTATCTAAAAATTATTTTAAAGCATTTTAACAGTGATGTGTATCAGACAAATATTGCTATAATTAGCATGTAAGTTTAGAGATTTGTAAAATGATTTATATAGCACAAAATTCCATACAATGAAAAGCTTCAGCGCTCAAGGTTTGTGTTATAAAGATCTACTGTAATATATTTTTCTTTTTCTTTCTTAATTTTCAAAGAGAAACATTATTCCAAAAGTTTATCAATAAAAAATATTCTTTGAACAGACACAAACAGAGCAACACAATTAAAATATTAAAAGTAGCAAGGAAAGGTGCATTGATTATTACCATTAATTCTAAAGAACCATCCACAACGCTACTACCTCCTTGTGCCCGGTCAGTTAATAAAGATAGTTGCAAATCTTGATGAGGATCCTGAAAATATAAACCATTAATTAAAAGTGCTAACCACTAAACTGTGTTAAAAATATTAAGTATTAAAAAGCTAATAAATTTTTTAACAGGAAACGATAGGGTCTGCAGTCATCACGAGGAAATTTAAGTAAAGTGATCCTTATAAAGTACTTCAGACTGACTAAAAAAAGGTTTAATACAGGCACAAGCACCCCACATCTAACTTAATATACAAAAAGAAGAAAAAATTAATTTTAAAAATTATTAAAATATGGCATTTATTTAAAAAATACACTTACAATTTTCAATAACCATAATATATTTACACTAAAGCGCAACAAGGGTCCTTTTTGTAATAGGTTATTAGTACAGTTAAACCACACTGTAATGAACCAGGGATATAGTGAGTACTTGGTTGTAGTGAACTTTTAAAGTGGTCTCTTCTGAACTCCCATTTAACTAATGTGATTTTATACGCTTAACCCTTTTGGGCCGACTGTCACATATACATGCCAGCAAGAAATGCGCTCACTTCCGGCTGACACACCCGCGTGCCAGAGCGTTTTCGAGTCCCTTCTACCCCCCGGTTGTCACTCATTTGTGCCAGTGTTTCGGAACGTTTTCAAAAATAAAATTTCTTCCATAAGATGGCATTGCGTGTCCATATGGTATCAGATACATGTTGATTTGACCTTCTACTCAAGATGAGAGTACATTCACGTGGTTTTTAGGGGTAAGGAATGGAGGAGGAAGGAATGTTTTATGATGGCTCTTTAAATTCGCACGTGGTATTTGTTTACAGTAAGCAGGGGAGGTTTTTTTTTTTACTACTTTCGATTTTAAGTTTAGTTTATAGTGGATAGTCAGATCTTGTAGATCCCTGTTTTAAAATTTTTCATACTAAAAAAGAACTTCAAGTAATATATTTAGTTTTCAGATATGTTATGTTAAATGTTATTAAATGCATAATGTAAATAACTTGAGTTAATAAAATATCCATAGAAATATATATAAAGCATATGTTATTTAAATACTCTACAGCACAATATTAAACAACACGTTGATATTTCGGTAATTTCATGGATTTAAGCTTTACAGCAAAAAACCCTCCGGCCCTGGAGAGACACACGTGAGAGAGACTGCCGGCCTCAGCGGTAAGCACGCTTCCTGTCACGAAAGGGTTAAAGTGAACAGTTGCAAAATTGGTAATCTGTTTAAAGTGTATTTGATTTTTTTCTTTATTTCTCCAAATTTAAATATGTAGGAGTTGCGATTGCAAATGTTAGCAATTCTATACATCTTGTTAAATTTTCCTCCTGCATGCTTTTTGCTCTTAAACTAGGATGGACAAGTTGTTAAAGCAGCATATCCCTCTTTTTACCCTTTCACCTTTATCTCGGGAATGAAATCAACTTTAAATATTTTGAATTTTTTTTCGGCAAAAATTAATGACTAGAAATAACTATGTTCTCTACTAATTGATGAACAAACCAACTTAGAATCATACTCAACCGAAAATCACTAAATTCTTCCATAGAACGTAAAAATTCATTATCATCTATTTAATTGCTTTATGATTTCAAAACAAATTATCAACTATTGTTATCATTATTTCTAACAATACTATTGTCATGTGCTAAGAAAATAATTTTTTAATGAATTCGGATTGCACTTAATTCTGAATCCGTAGACAGTTCACTATAACTGGGTTCAACTGTGTAATTAAATAACTTACATCTCATAAGTTACAAATGATGCAAAAATAATTACTTAATTACAAGGTAATATACTTCATTAAATTAAGAACACAAACCAAATCAATGTCCAGTTTACAGCAATCTGATTTGCTAACTATATGTAAGTACTTTTAAAATGAATTTTTTCTACTTTAAAACACTTTTAGAACAAGATAAATTTATTGTATTTAGACAGAAACAACAAAATTAATTGTATTTGTAACTAATTTGTAATTCTATACTTTTGCTATTATTCATTGCACATATATTTCTTTCTCAGCATAAAAAGTAATTTTATGCAAATTTTCCCCCTATTTTTAAAGTTTGCAAATCTTTGAGATACTGTTACTGTTTTGTTCTTTAATAAGAATTAGTTTATCAATTACGTCATATTAAATATTTTTCCAGAAACTTCATTTAATGTCAGAGCTATGGAATATTCTATATGGCAAAACTGCAGACATATTTTTTTAAGATCACAATCAAAACTCTCATAAATGTTGCAATTCATGTCTGTACAAAAGTAATACAGTTATAGTAAAACTTTAAAATATGACTTAATTAAATGTTTAAATTCTTTCCCCATACTTCCTTAATCACTTTATATATATATATATATATATATATATAAAATGCAAAAAAGAGTCAAACAGAGAAATTTTATAGGGCTAAGGAACTGAGGAAAAATTCTTATTTTCTTAAAAGTAAGATGATATAAAATATATTTGTAAAACTCTGAAACTTAAATATATTTGTAAAAATCTGAGAATGCCTTTGAAATCGCAAAACTTGCCTGCATGTATATCCATGATGTTACGGGATAATAGTTTCCAGCGATTCTTTCAGTAATATTCCAAGGAAAAGTATCTTGATGATCACGACTAAAAATAAATTAATAAAAATGTTTAAAAGATACATATTTTTACAATAGAAAGTTAACTTCTCAAAATCAACAATAAAATTTCTATGAAGCTGAAGATAACTATCTATTCCTAAAAATCTAACAAAATGAACAGGTAAATATTATTCAAGATTCTTGTTTAGTGCCTCCTTGGTAATATAACTGTATTTCAAATTTTACAAGAAATCTTTTATATTTCAAGACAAACTTATGCTAAAAATTTTAAAAAATTTGTTAGCCATTTTTAAGATTTGTTGAGATTATAACAAAAGCTACTATATTTCTGATTTAACAATGCACTTTCAACCTCATATTTTTTCCCACTATTGTTCAGTAAAATAAATTTTCAAGCTAAGGACTATTTAAAGAAACATCAGCCAAAGAGTTGATAAGTTCTAGAAAAGCAAAAAGAGACATCAGAGTATAGTTCTCATAAGTGCCTACTTAATTTTGGGATTCATGCTTTTCTACTGTTTACAAATTTTTAGGAAGAAAAAAAAAAGATTGAACATTGAAATGAAAACCTCCTTAGTGAATTTTTGCAGCTTTACCCCATGGATCCAAGAATAATAATAAATCACTGGTACCCCATAGAACTAAAAATGACTAATAACACATTGACCATTATATTATCAATACTATTTAAAATAATTTTAATATTTTTAAAACTCCCTTTTCTTTAATTTATTTGCAAACATAGAAAAAAAATATCAAAGCATTGGTCAATATCAAAATTTTTTATGCTTTTACAGCTTAATTAAAAAAAAAACTTGTTTAAATAATCTAAAAAAAAAGTATTTACGTTCTGAATTTTTGAAAGAGGGAGTAATACTCTAGAAATAAGTGGGGATAGGTCAAAATAGAATGAACGAGAATCACTGTGTAATGCAAAGAAAACATAATTTCTAGAAAAAAATAGATGATACTAACTAGCATTTATTTCACATAGAAAGAAAGATTATTTTAGAAAGGTTACACCTTACAATGCATGTTTTTACATTTCATAAATATTTCTTAGCTAAAAGTTACAATCAAAGCATAAACATTTCTTTTCTAAAAGTTATAATAAACGCATAATAGTTAAAAAATAAGCCATAATATGTATACAATAAACTTATAAAATGTTTTCTTTTAGAACAGAAAAATTCAATTCAGTTTAACTTACGTTCTCTTCATAGTCTGTCTACTATTAGAATCTGTATAAAATACTTTATTATTTCTAAGATTTGTATCAAATCTGGTTATAATTTCTCGCCCAATGTGGTCACTAAAGTAAAAAGGAAATTTAAAGTGTCTTTAGTAAAAGAAAGAACAAAACTTGCATTAAACAACAAGAGATTAAATCATAAATAAATTAAATTTCATCATAAATATGCAGAATCAACTAAATTTAAAAAAAAAAAACTATTTTATAAATAGATTGAATTAAATTTGAAATTAGCAGTTAGATAAAGGATTTACAACATATTCGTAAAATGAAAGAAAACACTTACTGAACTGGGATAGGACCAACTACCCAATCAAACTCGACATAATTCTGTGCTTTGTATAAGCGAATAATCTGACTAATCCAAGGAGCATAATATTGATGTACTTCTTCAACAAGTGGGCCCTGCAAAATATTACTTTTTTATCAACTAATTAGACTTTCTCAACTAATTAGACTTTTTTTTTGAAGAAAAGATTTAGTCATAGTTTCTATATTTAAAAAACAGACATAAATATTAATTTTAAAATTTATTTATGTCTGGGTTAAACCCTTTTAAAAGTTATTTCTGTGCACCGAGTTTTCCAAAATTTGACGGACATATTCACGGAGATGATGAAATTCATTAAAACTCATCAGATCACCAAACCACGTCGAAAAAATTATGAAAAAAGCATGCAGGCTCTTAATTTAGAGGATACAAAGAGTTGACATTTGAGGTATAAGCATTTGCATGCTATACATATCTTAATCTGTGTGATATTCAGATGAGGGCACCTTAAAACAGTAGTTTGTGAGACATGTGTTGTCACTTTGGCGTCACTAACATCAAATATCTAGTATGTTTGAGAGCATTCAGGAATTATTTTTACATAGCTGTAAACTGCCCAATATCAGATTAGCTATTACAAGCAACTTTTTTAATAGCTTAGCAAACAAAGCTTTTGGTAGTTATCAAATTTGTAGTATATTCTGTAGCTGCTTTCCAATGTGATGCTGAAACTTGCATGGTCTTTTGTAAAACCTTCCCTTCACTCAAAGCTTTTTGAAACAATATGTTTAATAGTAAAATTTCATCCTCTGTCGGCCAAACTTTAAAACACCCAGTGTAGACACACATTTAATTTTAACAATAAATTCTTTTTATAAAAAGAAGAAAAAAAATTAATTTGAAAACAAGCCACCTGAAAAGGTCATTGGAAAATTAACACAGTGTTAATTAGACTATTTTTTCACAACTATATTAAGTGTTTAACCACTAACTTTGTAAAGTGTTTATATAGTTTTAAAATAATGTTTAAAGAGAAAATAAATTACACTCCAAAGAATATAAAACTAGTAACATAATACAAATCTTTGATAATGATAATTTTTTACAAAAAGATTTACTTTAAATAACCTATAGGTAATATTATCAGCCAATGGATAGGCAGTGTCATGCTGAGGATTAAATGCATAAGCCCCCGAAGCTCTTTCGATCCTATAGCCCGGCATTCCTTCATAGAAATAAAAGGACTGCTTAATTGGAACTCTAACATCACTTTTGAGAAGAATGATTTCTTTAAGAAGACCTGAGTAACCATCAATAATAAGTTGAAAGTTCTGAAAAAAAATTAAAAATAAATAAGTGATTTATTATGTTCATAACTCAAAATATTATTTTCATAGCATAAAAGACATTTTATAGCTCATATTAAATAAAAAATAAAGTGTGGATTAATTTGATGCAGTTGATGAAAAAATGCATAAATTGTGCAATTGAGAAACAGTCGTTTCTTGATAATAATAAAAAAAAACATGCAAAAATACATGAAAGTCAAAATAATATTCAAAAATATATGACAGTTAAATTTCTTATAAAATCATGTACAGTCACTTTCAAAATTTTAACTTCTTTTATCACTCAATATTTTAATAATAACAGCAACAAAAAGTTTTCTGAGCAAACATTACGAAATAGATTCGTAATTTAGGAAAATTTTCTGCAAAAATTCGTCTCTGAATAAATTTCACCGCGATCGCAAAATTATCGCTCTGGGAAAAGGAATTCTTTGCCACACATTGTAAAAGGGCGAACTTTTAAACACAGATTGACCACGGCCTATCTACTCAAAATTACTGTAAATAACAGACTATAAATAACATAGATGATAAATCATAATGCACACTGACTATAAACATTACTACATGCATTAATTAACATAATTCACAAATTATGCTACATTCTGTTAATTATTAGTTAACATAATTCCCAAAATAGATGATAAACATTGCTTCAAACATTAAATGTCCTAAAGCACACTGACTATAAACATTACGACAGACATTATTAACATAATTCACAAATTATGATTGAAAAGCTCATTTTCTTACCTCATTTTGAATAGTTGCATCTTGAACAGGAGTTGATAGACGTTCACTTCCAATATCATCTGATGGTTGATAATCTAAATATTTAAATTATTATAATACATTACTAGTTTTTTATGTACAGATTAAAAAATCATGTTTACAACTGAAGGATTTCCCTTTGTTGCTTGATAGTATCTATAACATGATTAAAATACTTTGGATTTAAAGAAATAAATTAATTACAACCTTTCTAAATTCTTATCTTGTTAAGTTAAAAAGTGTAGGATATTTAAAAGATATAGATACCTTCAAATGTTTAAAAGAGGCATAAATGCAAAAACCAAAACAGCTAAAAAATTAAGATTTATAATCAAGCTAGGTTATATGTACATGCTAAGGTGTATAATTTTTTTCATTATACATCAGATTTATTTACAAAAGCAATAAATATTACGAACAGCTACCATCTAAATAACTTTTGAGATTTACCATTTTATTTTAAAACAATAATTAAATCCCAGAATATTTCATCAAATATAACGATTAGGTAAATCAAATAGCAAAATGTTGTAAAAGCATTTAAATTTATTTATGTATTTCAGAAATAAAATAAAATGCAAAATATTTGTCATGTCAGGATATTGAATATAAGATCAATGAAAGTTGTTTTTGTTCTGAAATAAAATGCATAACTATTGAATAATTAAAAAGCTAATAATTATTAAAACAAAAATAAAATAAGATAAATGTATTTTGCAGATGATACTATAATATAGTCATTAATTTTTTTTATATAACTCTTAATTAAATAAAGAAAATAAATTTAAAAAATATTTTCTATTTCAAATAGCTTTCTAGTTCCTTAAAACCTATCAATATTTTTTTCAAACAAAAATTAATATACAGCTATTATATTTATTATATTATAAACATTTATTACACTGGTATGACAAAAACTAATTTTCAAAATTTAAACAAAAATAGTAATGAAATAAAATGAAAATTTAATGAAATGAAATAGAATGAACTAAAAATTTTTAACAATGCAATAAAATTGTGATCATTCAAACCTTTTTATTCCAAATACTTCTGCAAAACAAATTTTGTACAGAAGTTTCTTTTTAAATCAAGTACACTTAGTTTTTTTCTCAATTTCCACAACATGTTGTAATAATAATTCAACTATGCATGAAGCCTTTAAAAAATATTCAGTGCACTGTATAACTATATAGAATGAATCAGGTAACAAATAAATGTTTTGTTAGTTGAAGTATGCTGCTTTAGTTTATCTAAAGAAATCTGAAAGTTGTAATTTTCGTTGTTTCATTCGTTGCAGGTTTTTTTTCCCCTTCATGATTGCTTGTATGTTTATAACGGAAATTTAGTTTATTATCATGGATCTTCTGCAATAAGGCATGTTACATTAATCCGTAAAAAAAACTAATATTGTAGAGCCAATGGAATGTGAAGAATGCCTTACGAAGCTTAAAAATGGAATATAAATTATTGAAAACAACAATGAAAATCAATGAAATTAGCTAAAGATTCCGAAGGAAATATTGCTTTGTGCAAATGATGGTTGATTCTTAGAAGGAGTACCACAATTTAAGGCAATAATGCAATTAATTTTAAAACGAAATAACTTTATATATATTGGCCAAAAACATTTCTTAAATGTTCAATAGTACATAGCATTATTATAAAAAAAACTGTTAATTATTGATGAAAATCAATTAAAATATAAATTACCTATAATGTCTAAATATTTTTTATTGTAGGTTCAATGCCAATATAGGTTCCATTTCAATTACTCAGAATAATTAAGGTGTCACGATATTTACTAGCTTTTAATTACTATTTACAATCAAGAAAAAATCATTAAATACTAACCATCTAATAGCTTTATTCCGTATATAGAGAAACCTATAGGTGGCAGTGAAATGGGAAATACTAATTCATTCACAGCTAAACTAGATCTTTCAGGTAGACTGATAATTGATGGAGGTATAGGGAGAACCTATCAAAAAACAAATAAAATGTAAACACATAATTCATGACAAAATAAGCATATATTTTTTTAATTATAAAACTTTTACCAAAAAATTAATCATCCGAATATTTAGAGTTGCATTTTGAACATAAAAGTATTCTGAGTAAGATTTAAAAAGGTTATTGAACATATCATAAATTACTAAGCAATTACATACAACTTAAAGAGAATAAATCCAATTAAAGAGTAAAAGGACTCCCACAACAGCCAATTTGTGGCTTGTAGGGGTCCCTGGAGGTTGAAGCTCCACAATTTTGAGACCAATGGCATGACGGTAGTAATATGGTCAGCATTGTACCTCAGCTACTTTTACTTCCTAAACAAACTAATGCCTGTCAGTCTAAAGCTGAGTGGGCTTCAAACCACGGCAAGGGTAGATTCCCAATTCCTTACAATGATGACTCAGTGCATCACAGCTCAATAAAAAGAACTGTTTATATATATTATATATCTAGAAATGATCCTATTATCATATGAATAATTTTTTACACTTGAATTTTTGAAAAATATAATCAAACAAGACTCATTTTTTTTAAACTTTTGCAGCACTAAACCAAAAATAATATTAACCTAAAAAAATAAATAAATAAAAAATAAAAGAAAAAAATAATAAACATGCTCACTTATTTAAAAAAAATTTTTTTTGTACAATTCTAAAATTTAACGTTTTTAAGAAATAAAGAGTATTTTCAATGCAAACTAATCAGCACTAACAATCCCAAATTTATTTTCTTTATTACTTTCAATGAAATAAAAGTGAAGCTGCTTTTCTAACAGCATTAATGAAATGTGTTCATCAAACAAGAAGGACTTTAATTACAAACATACATACTTGCACTAAAAAAGTTATAAAAATATAAACAAAAGTTATAAATGGTACAACACTGATGAAAGAAATTAATTAATTACGATTGATTTCAGATTCAACATACTTGAGCAGGCACTGACCTTCTCCGTTTGGTCAACTGCCTAATAGAATATCCTTCTCCAGTCACAGGAATTCTTACAAATGTTCTCAGAGGATGGGATAAAGAATTGTATACAATCACTAAGAACTATAAAAAAAAATTTTTTTAATTAATTATTGCAAACAAATTTTATTAAACAAACTATTTTGAAAAAAAAAAATAAAAACAAACTTTGTCGAGAAAATTGACCAGAAAAACAGACAAAAAAAAAAAAAAAANAAAAAAAAAAAAAAAAAAAAAAAAAAAAAAAAAAAAAAAAAAACATTAGATTTTATATTTCTTGCTGTAATAAAACATATTACTTTTAGAGTATTAGTGCTAAACTAAAACAAAGACAGGAAAACAGATCCTAACATAAAAGTAAATAAATTTTATTTTATTAACTCAACTAATATTTTTCTTTAATTTTTTCATAAGTTGGAAGAAAAAGTGTAATAATGATGTAAGAAATATTAAAAGTTCGTCTGTTAGAGACAAAGATTACCCAATTTGTTTCATAATTTCATTCATTTGTAATATGCTCCATAAACATTTTCAAAGTTTTTTTTTTTTTCAGTATAAGTTGAAGCATAAAAATTTGCACAGTTGTGAATTTCATGTTTTTGCATTTTATCTAATAAATTTAAAGATTTATTCCATAAAAAATATTAATTTAATAAAATATTCATTGATAGTTCCTTAATTAACTTGCATACTAAATAAACATGCTCTATAATGAATTTTGGAAAAAACTTTTTATTTTCTTTATTTCATTACTGCCTAGAAAATTGGTATGGTTCCTTAATTAACATTAGCTAAAAATTTCATATCATATTAATTCCTTATTTAAAGACATTTACTTGTAATATTAATTTAGATACCTTTCTTCATATAACTCTCCACTATTGCTATGATTTGATTTTTATTCCAAATTAAATGCTAAAAATTAAAATTGGAATTCTTTTATTATAAAGTAATATTGTAATACTACCTTTTATGTAACATTTCATGAAATATAAACGGAAAACCATATGCAACTTAACCATTTTGCTATTATTAAACAGTAAATAAGTTATATTCATTTTTATAATAAGATTTAGATAAAACTGTTTCTAGTCAAAATGTGCAATTAAAATAAAGAATAATTATTATGTTAATATTATAAGGAAATATGGTTACACAATATTACTAAACTATCTGGCAATATTATTCAACTAGCGTTATTTATAGTATCTGTGGGGAGAGGAGTATTCGGCCATGTCAACCGTCATCTATGAAAAGGTACCCTGACATAGAGTCGAGTTAACATGTNAGATACGCTACAGTATCTAACAGTTAAATAAGAACTTAAGCAATACTGTATATTAAGTTGGAATGATAATGAAACAAAATAATTAAGAACAAATTTTATACCAATATACTTTAGAACTAAACTTGTTTCAATGCAAAAAAGGGGGGATCTTTCAATTGAGGGAATTTTATTTTATATGTTATTCATTAAGAAATAAAAATAATAGCGAAACAATCTAAAACCTCCCAAAATATGGTGATATTGCAACAGAACAATATATATAAATAATAACTAAACATTTAAATATTCATGTTAGAAGCAAATCCTGCAATCTCATTAAGAACTCAAGAATAAAAATTTAAAATATTTATGTGAAAAGCTGGGTTTATCACCGAAAACTTATTTTCATCAAAAACTTGATATAATAACTATCATATTGTTTTAAAATATTATGTATTAATAATATTATTAGTTTTATTTGCTCCCAAAAATTTCATAAAATTGTTTACTTAATATGACAATAACATTTCTCTGCCAAAATAAATTCAGCTAAAATCCTTTAAAACAGCAAACAATTGGAATTGGCAAAAATGTATAGTATTGAATTACTACTTCATATAGAAAACAATTCGATTTGACAAAATTATGTATATGAAGTTTCAAAATTATTATTATGCTATTTAATGAAAATATAATGCATTCATTTTTTCAGCATACCTCTTTTTCTAGTTCTGTAAAAACACACTGACTTAAATTTAAATGTTGGCAAAAATACAATCGGGGTAAGATGGTTTCTTTAGACAGTAATATTCTAATAGCTTTTCCCATTGCTTTCTGGAATAAAAATAAATAATCTTAAAAACTTTTCCTGAAATAAAATATAATAACATTTTTCATAAAAGTCAATCATTTTTAAAAATAAATTATTCTCAAAAGTAAATAATTTTTAAAAGTAAATAGGTTTTTTGAAAACCTTAAAGCTTAACAAAAGAGCCACATGAATTGATATTATTACATACTTGAATTATTTTACACTGCATTGCATTAGTTTTGTTTTTATGTATGCAGGGTGAGAGTTTTTTTTTTCTTCGTTTAGATAATCAAGAAAATGAGCTTATTTCAGCCTCTTGTTGCAAATGCAAAAAAGGCAATAAGAGAAAAAGGACTAAAACATGTGAAAGAAAAAGAAACTGTCCATTAAATATTAATAGTTAAACTTCTTAATACATACAAGTCAAGAAACACTCATGTTTAGGGTTCACACCAGCAATGAAAATTTAGTGGTCCAATAGGACCCCCTAGGTAGTCATTTAGAGATCCAAAAACTTAATATGGTAGAAAAAAATCAAATGTTACAATTACATAATTCATGTTATGGTACACGTCAAAAAAGTTTTTACTACTACCTATAACACTCTAAAACTAATTAGATTCTTTACCCTATAAAGATATTATTTAGTAAAATTAAATGAAAAAAAAAGATAAAATATTAGTAATAGATTCAACATAGTGATTAAAAAGCTGTAACCAAATAAATAAATAAATGAGGAAAACAGAAAAAGTAAGAACTAGCAAAATATTGAGTTAATATATTATTTATGAATATTTATGCTGTTAGTACATTAATGCAAAGCATAGTACAAACATAAAGCAAACTTGAAATTTCAAGATTTAAATTTAAAATTTTTTGTGTCAGACACTTTCAGTTAATCCATTTAAATTCCATACCACATGTAGAACAATAAAATTAGGACAGCAATTTTTTAATTGCATAAAATTCGATACAAAAAAACAATTTTTTTTTACTATTTTGTAAATTCTAAACATATTTAAAGAGGAGAAATTTGTAGCCCATGCATATGATTTTAGTAACTAGCGTGAACCCAACTCATGTTTATAAAATTTATATGTAAGTTGTTGGAAAAATAACTATGAGATACAAAGCGGAATAGTAATAAAAATAATAAATTGATACGTAATTAATATAAATAAATTTATACATTACACTCTCAAAACATAATATTACTGTCAAAGCAAAAGATTCGAATTGATGACTTGACATTAAGTAGCAGCCATTTTACATATAATTTTTTAATACATTTTTATATTTAAAAAATCAGAAGTACAGCAGTAAAAATCAATAGTAAAATAATAAAAATTATAAGAAAAAAAATATATAAATAAGTTCCCTCAAACTTAAAATTAGTAATAGATTATTATTATTTTTTTTAATAGAAAGTTATTTTAATGTCAGGAAAAAAAATGAAATCTTTTAGTAAACAATTACTGTTTAAAGAGACTATAAAACCTTACCAGGGAATACAGATATCGATTTCAAAACCACTTATTAAATATCGTACTAGCAAAATCAGTAATTTTATCAAAATCATAATAAAAAATAATTTTTTTAGGAAAATTAAAATTTTTAAGCTTCTACTAAATAAGTGATGCTTTCATAACAAATAATTTGTGATATTAACATATAATGTTTAATTTTTCCATGTTAAAACCATTGTAATTTATCTTAAAATTTTGTACAACTTAAAAAGTATTGGTAAAAGAAAAGTATCAATAAATCTTTCCCATTAACTACCAATTATTAAGAAAATACCAATAATTCCTTTTTGAGGTAAAAATGAACAATTTGATACCTATTTAATATAGTTTCTTTATTTTATGTTAAGAATTTATTTCAAATGAAATTAAAATTTTCTAAAAAAATAGATCATTGAAAAAATAGTTATAAAAATAGGGAGCCACGCTTCATTCCTGCTCATTTCAATATAGTATAAAAATATTAAATTAAATTAAAGAATAAATAATATGAATAATAAAATGGATAAATATTAAAAGGAATTAAAAAAATACAGTAAAATATTAACTTCACATAAATGATTTCCTTCAGACAGCTGGTAGATATAATCTTCAGCAACATGCTGTTTTTCAGTTCCACTAAAAAGAAGAAGAAAAAGTTTCCAAAAATATTAAGAATTTTTCTTTATTTTAATTCTTTTATTTATTTTGTCATTTACATGATTGAGATCATGTTTTGCTTGCTTGTATTTTAAATTAAAAACAATTTTGAATTAAAATGAAATATTACATTTTATTTATACACCAGATTCAAAGTAAACATTCTAAATAATCAACATGATAAATTAAAACTATACTAAGTTTAATATTTGTAGTTTGGCATTTACAATGTATTAAAATTTGCACTATACGTAAGCACTTGGCATTTTATGAGTTTCACTAACTCTGCAAATAAATAAGACTAAAACAATTTCCACTGATTTTGAAAGGCTATTTATTATTAATATTTCAGATTTAAAACATAATATAATGTAGAATACTTATACTGACTTACGTGATTCCATCATGATGCTGAATTACTCCAAGTGCTTTAGCTAAATAATAATATCAATAATTATTTTAATATTTTATATAAAAAATATCATTGAAAATATTGACATTAACAGAAAATAATGTTTATAGAAAAGAGTGATACATAAAAAAAGATATCAACTTCCTACTTACCTAGTGTTATAAAGTCAGCATCTTTAATGTCTGATAAAGTGACTAATTGCTTACAGATCTAAAAGAAGTTTAAAAAAATATTTATAAAAAAAAAACAGAAATATATGAAACCAAAAAATTTTCATTTTAGAATATTAAACAATAATAAACACATAAGTATTATTTTTAAAAGTATTTTTTTAAGAATAATAAAATTATAAGTATTGTTTATGTAAAGGTAATAATACAATAGTTTCTGTAAAAGCTACAACTGGTAATTAAAACAATAAATTTTTAACATGAAGGATATATCATATAAACAATTATATTAAAATCATCTATTTCTAATATCAGAAGAAAATACACATGCATGTTAATTTTATTGCTCTACATTTTAGCTTTAGTTAAAACCAATCTTAAATCAATTTCAACAGCTATCTTTTGATATCAGATATACTTATTTTTAAAAATGTTGTATTTAAAACTTCTTTCTCTTTATTGAAATTATATTGATAAATTTATACTTTATCTATACTTTAAACAAATTAAGACTATTTTTTAGTCCTTTATACAAATGCATAACACAAGCCAAAGTAATATTAATTTTAACTTGTTTGAAAAAATTAATTTTATTTTTTTGCAACAATCTTTAGAATTTATTTTATTTTTTTACAACAATTAATAAAAAAACAGCAAGAAGGTGTAAAATGAGCATCTAAGCAAATACAAATTTACTGAACATAGCAATTTGAGATAAAACGGACCAGCAAAAACAAAAAGTGTACCTATTACTCAAAATAAGAAAGAAAACTAACATCAAATCAATTAAATGTATCAAATAAATTTTTTTAAAAATACATTTTTAAAAAAAATTATAAGAAAAGGCTTATGAAACAATACAAACTTGCAAATTGGCATTAGATCTTCTTGCATAGTACTTTAATGACGGTCGACTTGTAAAATAACCAGTCCAATATTCATGTTTTCCAGATGAATATGGAAAAAAGTCTGATTCCATTGTTGTCCATGTTTCGTTTGCTTTGTTGAGGCTGTGCAAGTAACAGGTAGGAGTAGAATAAAAGGCATTTACATTGGTTCCAATTGTTTGCTAAAAGAAAACTCCTAATACTTATTATTTAATGTTATGGGCAAAATATTTATAACGAATTAAATTATCACTACCATAAATTACAATTTATAAATATGATTTTCAAATGCTGAGCCAATTAAATGGGTCAGATAATGGCCGAAATGCATAAAGATATGAAATCAAAATTTGTGAAATAAAGTTTAAGATAAAATAAACACTATAGCATATTATAGAATAAATTATTAGATTATTCAAGACATTATTAGACATAGTATTAGATTTCGATTGTGTCGATATATATCTTTCTGTATAATTGAATAACCTGTAATACTATTAATCAAATGAAAATATTTTATTTTATAAACTAGCCAAGCCTGCTAAACTTTTTTTTAAAATTTATTTTTAAAATACTTTTGTATTACTTTTATAATAATTCTCTGAATTATGATTCTAATTTATAACCACTGTAGAAGCTACATGAACATATAAATAAGAACATATAAATTCCCTATGATTGAAATCACAACTTAGGTTAATGAAAATAACACATCGAAAAGATTTTGTCATTTTAGTTTGCCACTTATAACATTGCTAGAACATATAGTTGCAAAATATTTCATGCATACTTAAATTAACCAAGATTACTGCTAAACAATAGCTTCAAAGAAATATTTTAGAGTACAAATTTATTGATTTGGGATGTAACATCTTAACTTTCTAACACTCAGCATTAAAATGCCTAGATATGGAAATTTTATTAAACTACTGAAACATATACTTATTAAAAGAAAAGAAAAGGAAACAAATAACAATAATTTAAGTATAAAAAATAAGAAAGTTCTTCCTATTTAATGGAGGAATATTTTCAACAATAATAAAGATTGATAAAAAAAATATTAAATATTTTTACAAAGAAAAAAATTTACCAAAAGTTTATTAAACTCATTGCAGGAACAATATTAAAACAATTAATAAAGCATTCAATATTTTCCCAACAAAAAAAATTTACTATTTAAAGAGACACTTAAAAAATAATGAAAATAATAAAACATTTCTTAATTTTTAATAAAAGTATCCACTTAATAAACAAGATGATGAAGAGAAATAAACAAAAAAATTTTTTTTTTCATTTTATTAAAATGTGTTAACGTTTCCGTTTATCTCATATACAAATTTATCTCATATATGAACATAACTTTAAAAATTCTTAGAAAACAATTTTAAGTCAGTATAAAATAATCAAATAAATACTACAAATTTTTTAAATAATAAAATTAATTATAATAATATATATGTATAATTATATATGTAATTATCATATATGTTATTAATTACATATATTATTATTATTAATATATACATATATAACACATATTATTATTAATTATATACATTAATTTATATTATAATTATATTTTAAAGATGGATAAAACCCTGATGAAACTATTATACTTACTAATGAATTAATGTAACTAATTAAGTAGTCCATATTTCGGAACCATTTTGAAGCATCTCGGAAATGAAAGTCCATCCCCATAGTCAGGACAATATGATTTGTTTTATAGAACTTTGCCTGGTTTAAATAAACAAGAAACTGTAAATTCAATGCCATTATCTTTTTATTCTATTACAAAAATTTCAAAAAAAAATTTTCTATTTTTTGTTCGTAGCTTAAATATTTTCTAGATATTATATTTTATTATATAAATTTAATACAAATATTTATCTTGGTATTCCTGAATGATTTGACTCATGAAAGGTATAAACAATTAGGAGCACTAAGTTAGATGAATAATTATGAAGAAATGAATTATGATGAATATGAAACCAAAATAAAATATTTTTCTTTTAACTTATTATTAATAAGAATTAACAAGTATATAAATTAAATTAAATTATTAACATAAATTTAGTTAAAATATTTGTCATGAGTTAAAATATTTTTCCCAGTTTTCTTAAATGATTTGTTTCCTGAAAGATCAAAACAACTAGGTACAGTAAAAAAAATCATTATGAAAAACTCATTTATGATAAATTTGATACCATTACATTAGTATCATAGATCAATTGCAAAATAACAACAATTACAAGAAATTAGAAAGCAATGTTAATACAAATTAACAAGTATTTGAATAAAATTTGTGTATATATCCAAATTTAATAAAAATATTTTTCATAGTATTCCTAAATGATTTGACTCTTGAAAGGTCAAAGCAATTAGGAAGACTAAGAAGAATCATGATGATGATAAATTTTAAAACACAAGTATATTTGCTTTAACTTAACAGGTAATGTTAATAAGAATTAACAAGTAATAAGGAAAATCAAAAGCAATGCTTACTTGTTCTTGAGCAGAAACTATAAAACTATGAGCCTTAAAATTTATATTATCTTCCTAAAAATAAAACAAAGTAAAAAAAATTACCAAAAAGAATAAAAGTATAAAGTAAATAAATAATAAAATGAACAAAAAACTTAAGAGTGGTGTTGAATAACAAGTTAAGCAATTTATAAAAACAATTCACTTAACACTCTAAACATTAGTATTAAAATTTTTTATGTGTGTAAGTGATGCATGGCAAGAAAATTTCAATACAATTTTCTCAGGGTTTCAATGGTTAATAATTAACAGTTTATAAGTAACTTTTTGCATGTTACTCAACAGTAAAACAACAATTTTGAGCAACTGTTTATATTAAAAGATGGCTTTTTTTAGTTACAGAATATCTTTCGGTGGTTGTTGTTAGGTGGCTTTTTTTAAAAAGAAAAAAAAAATAATGTAAAAAAAACTTTCACAAAACATCACTTTGAACATGGATAATATTTTTCTTTAAAATTAAAATTAGAAGTTTTATTTACATTTTGAATCAAATGATAAAGAAGTTAATTTAGATGTATATCTTTTTAATTTTTTTAAAATTATTTTGTCCACAATAATCAAAATACTTTATAATTAACTAAATTGTCATGCAAATGCAGATGAAAGTTTATGATGATATAAATAACAGACTTATTCCAGTTATCCACGTTGGCCCCTTTCCCCTACCTAATTAGATTTGAAACAGCTGTACTGTTATTTCTTTTCAATATTCATTACAAATTCATTAGTGTTTATTGTGAACCGGTTCAGAAATCAATGACATGATTTGAACATAAATTATAGAAAAAATTATTCTTTACAACTTAAGTTGCAGATGTGATACATATAGTATGTAAGGTTAGAAATTATATAACTTAGATTTTTAAGTTTACAAACTAAATTGCAAACTCAGAAATCACATTTTCAAAAATTAGTTATCCATTTAAAATTACTACTGAAAGCATAACTGTTACTTTAAATAACAGTTATCGACACTCGACACAGTAAGTAACAAAAGCTTGAAGAAAATGTTCTACTAAATAAATTTATTGATGTAGTACAAAAAGATTTAATAACAATAACAAATTTTCTAGGCAGAACACAAAATTCATTCATTTTAAAATAATCAAAATGCACATTATAGCTGATACCCAAAAAACAGATTTTTTAAAATAAAGAACATCATATTTTCAAATTACCATTAAAAATATAACTGTTCTAATGTTATATTTTCAGCAAACTCGGGGGTACATAAATGACAAGATGTTAACAGAAAAATCGCAGTAAAAAAAAGATTGAATGCAAAAATATTCTGCCTAAAGTCAAAAATATCAATTTTACTTGAACTTGAGATAAATAGCTATTGATGTAAAAATAAATAAGTTTTCATTTATCAAGAATATTATTGTAAAGAGTAATAAATATATTATTATAAGTAGTTTCTGAGAATGAAGATCAACAATCAATTGTTCTGTTGATAATATTTATTTAGAAAAAGTGAACACATTTAATAACAGTTAGAGTTAGCTAAATTAAAAAACAATTACAGTTTAACAGACAAAATATGTCTTCTTTTATAATTTTATTTTAAAATTTATATAAAAAAATTCTACATAGTCACAAATTATAGCACATGTTCATCAATTTTGCTTAATATTTCAATCTAACATATTGAAAAATAACCTTAAGGTCACTGGATTAATATTTCTGATTAAAATAAAGGTCAGAGGTTTTGCAGATTTTTTCAACAATTTCTTTTGCTAAAGCTATTAAAACATTTAAGTTCTGACTTTTTATGTTATAATAACAACTAATGTAACCTGAATGTAATGTAAATATAGCAGGTACTATAACTAAAATTTCAATAGTACATTTTAAATTTCTTAAATTAATTTAATAGTGATATTCAAAATCTGCAAGATACCTACTTACTGTGAGTTCTTCATCGGAACAAAATGTGTCAAAGCAAAATCCTTTTGGAGGCCAATAAACATTAGGTAGAACACCAGTAAATAAATCAGCTTTCTTGCCTGTAAAAAAGGAATTGAACATTACATTTATGAATATTTCTGTAACATAATACAAATTAAAGGAAGTTTCAAAAATCTCTTTAGAAAATATTACTTTTACAATTATAATATAATTCAATTGCACAGTAAGATAAAATTTTAAAATTTATTTATGTGAAATCAAAAGTAAGCACATACATATGTAAGTATGAAATGAAAGTGAAAATAAAAAAATTACGTCACATTAATGATTTAGATAGGTTAGCTGTTTTCAGTAAACTAATTTTAAAAAACATTATTATGAATGAAATAAGAGAATAATATGGAATAATTAATATCACACATAAATCTATTTTAGGTGTGAAAAAAAAAGATAAAAAAGGGATAAGATAAAAAAAAAAGGCGTTTTCTATTCTGATTTATTTCCATTAGTCACTCCTAAATATTCCTTTATTTCTAAGTTTTGGTAACTTCCTAACCATTTTTTACTTTAATATCAACTGATTACTTTAATATCAACTTTATTTATACCAACATTATCATAGTAAGCAGAAATAAAATTGTAAAAAAATTATTGATTCTTCTTATGATATAGCAAAAAATTCATAGCATAATTAATTACTAAAACACTACTTGATAAAGCTAGTAAAGGTTTGTGAAGTCATGGTATAAAGTCTTCTTCTTTCTTCCTATTTTTTTTCTCACAATTTGCTTGAGTTTTTTTAAAAGCAGTAGGACAACACATTGTTCAAAGAATACTCAAAAAACTATGTATCCTCTATATAAAATTATACATGTCATTATATTATTATACATCTATATATACAATGAAAGATTACAAATGATTTTAATATAAACTATTTAGGCAATTTAATAGAACTTTTAACTGATTTATATAAATTTAGTTTTTATATTAAAAATTTTTATGATTTACTTAAATAATTATACAAATATTAATTTACATTGCTCATACTAAATTATATAAATATTTTTAATTTATAATATTTTAATACATATGGGTGACCACTCTTGTTTAGTGATCGAGGGTGAGCAGTATCGGTCCTTGTTAAACTTATCTAACAGTGTTCGACTTCATGTGCAGATCATCAGGTTACCAAAACAAAGGAGTGTAGGTCATCTGGTTATCCTTTGCAGAAGATCAAAATTGTGATGACATTTTTTCAGATCACTCTGAGGGATGTTTTCTAGACAGTCAATAACCATTTGTGCAGTTCTAGTGCGATGTAAATAAAGTAATATTCCTAATAAATTTAACGTCTTATATGACATTAAAAATTATAAAAAAGGTTTCTCAAAATGTTTTCAAAGATCTATTCTTATTGTTAAGAAAGGGTTGGGCAAGTGATCAAACCAACATAGAAAGAAAATATTAAATCATAAGCAACTATGCACTGAATTAACAAGTGACCATAAAAAAAAAATATGCAATGCATAACCAAAACAATCACACTATTTTTAAAAAATGTTATTATAAAGTTTTGCAAAGAAAATAAAGTTAGTTTCTCTATGTTTTATAATAACAGAAAACATATTGCATTTCATGATATATTAAGTAAACTGCAATTTTAAACTATTAAAATATATTTTAAAATAACAGTTTACTTGAAAGTTACATTTCACTTGTTTAAATGATAGTTTACAGAATTAGCCCTTTTAATTTTGGCTCTAAATCTAAACATTCAGAATAGAACTTAGCTACTTAACTTTCCTTTATAACAAATTGGTTTTACTTAGTAAAGAACAATGTAACCTATAACACAGAAATTCATGCACAAATTTGTTGGATTAGCTTGATAACCAAAAGGTTATAATAAACCAAATTTTAACTCAATATTTCAATATTAATTGTCTAAATCAGTGATTCTCAAAATCAATGACATGATTTGAACNTGCGAATCAAATATGAATTGCAACAAAAATTTTAAAAAACATTAGTTGAAACATAATTAAATTGTGCAAACTTACCTAAACTTGGATTAGACTTCCAAATTAATTCCATTGTTTTTGTACTTTCCCTATGAAACTTATCCTGATAATGAATACGGCCCAAAAACAGGCCATCAAAATCCATCTACCAATAAAAATAAAAATTATTCAACAAGCATTTAGAGGATATACATGATATTTGCACATAGTGTCTTGTCTTTTTCATTAGTTTCTAATAATATTTTATGCACAGTGCCTTTTAAAATCTTGAGAAATATACTAGTGTGTGCTCAATATATTTGTACTAATTATGTCTTCTAAAGGGTTGATGATGTCCTATTTTGCAAGGTTCTAATTTTTATTCTTTTTATTAAAAAAATTTTTTTTCCGAAAATATTTGCTTCTTGTTATTATGAAACTGATTAGAAATTATAAGCAATAACCCAAAATCAGCTGAACAATGTTAAATTTTCTAGTTTAAATATGTTTTAATTTAATTTATAAAAGAAATTGGTGTGTAGTAGGGCCAGAACACACTGGTTCTTTTTTGTTAGCTGAAATGTCATAATGGGAAGTTGTTCAGAATCATACCATAAGTTCCTTAATCTATATTTTCATCTATTTACTAATTTTAATTCAAAAATTTTAAATAATGTTAAAAATCATATTAGCTAAATGTAGCAATTTTTTTAGTAATTTGTAAACATTACATACTTTTTTAAGCTTCTTCTATGCAATGTTGATGTATAATCTCAAAAAAGTAGACATTTGAATGTAAAATTATTTACGGAACTTTTAATTAATTCAGTAAATGTAAAAGAATGGCAAAATTTATGTATTTCATAATGGCAACATTTTATATACATATTTTTGGAATCCGAGTCAAAAATAAATTTAAAAAAACATGCACTTTAGAGATCACAAATTAATATTTAAACGAGGATAAATCTCAAACACTATTGAAAAACAAACTAGTGATGAGAAGCATTATTTAGAAACTTGAAATTAATTTACTAAATGTAAAAAAGTAGGAAAATTTATGTATTCCATTATGGCTACATTTAATATATATATTTTTGGAATCCTACTCAAAAACAAATTTTTTTTTTAAAAAAAAAACTAATGCACATTAGGGATCACAAAATATAAATACATATAAGTGAGGATAAGTCTCAAACAGTGTTAAATCAAATTTTGATATTTTCAATCCGGCATTCATTCATAGTAATTCATTAGATTTCAATAATACTTTTGCCTTTTCTTGACTTTAGTATCATTTGAGGCCTTTTATATGCCTGCTTTTTTTTTTACTTTTTTTGTAACAAGGACTTTAAAAATATATAAGGGCAGTTATTAGAGAACACTCAGTATATTTAGTTTTGAGAAATTTTCTGAATTTATGTTTTTTTTCTCTCCAATGTCAGTAGGGAACCAAAAGCATGTAAACAAAGATTTAATTTGAATATCTTTTTTATTCATCTTTTTCCCTCAAAAACTTTAACACTGAAAAGAAAACCTATAAATCAATAAGTAAATATTTTTTTCTAATCCTCTGACCATTCTTTTCACAATTTTCAGTTAAAAGTAAAGAGTTATAAAATAATTGTAATTAATTTAACCAATTACAATAAAATGTTAAATACATTTGCTTACAATTGATAATGATTAATCTCAGTAGTATATTGCACATTTTCTAGGGATTATGAAAAAATAAGAAGTCTTCATCTTCTAGTTAACTAATGAAAACTGACCATCAATTACAATTTTAAAAATTTCAAGCTTGCTATAAAAGTTTATTTAATTCTACAAACCTGAGCAAATAAAGATGCTTGTTCCCTTGAATGACCAAATGGGTCAATTTGCCAACCAACTTTTGGTTTCCCACAGATACCAAATGTATCATTCAACCATCTCAAACCAATTGTCATCTGGTCTATAATACCCAAATAATGAGTAGTAGCTGCATCATTCATACTCCATCCACCACTTATGAATTCTAATCGACCTGTATAACAATATTATAGAAAACAATGAAATCACTTTAATCTGGTTTGTTACGTATTAAATGAAACTAAGAATTTATCTGAGAATCACATTTTATAAATATTAATGATATAGTTTTTGTGATTCATTTAAATGGCAGTTATTTTAAGAGCCGTTTATAACTTCTAAAAATTATTCAAAACATTACATTTTATTTTTTAATTTGGAAGATTATTTCTGCAGCAATATGATGGTTAAAAAACAAAATAAGAATTAAATACGTTTCTTAAATCTTTAACTAAACTCAGTATATTAATCAAAAATATTTTATTTTAGCAATTACTAAAGACACAAAATGCATAAACTTATAGAAGGTAATGCATAAACTTATAGAAATAAACAAAAATTTTAAACTACCGACATTAAAATTATGTTTAATTAGTCAAAATAATTGCATCACTAAAAGATATTTCTTATTTTGCTGATGTAAGCAAAAACCAAGAGAGATAAGTTTCTATCAAAATAATGTGATATTAAAAAAAATAATAATTAAAACAAAAAACTACACTTAATAAAACAATCTTTTAAAACATTTTATTATTCATAAATATGTTTTATTAATGTTAAAATGATTATTTTGTTTGGAACAAATTTGTTTTTTAAGAAAAGAGAAACATAAAAATAGTTCAGTTAAACAAAAATATTTTAGGTAAAACAATTTTGCCATTTTCATTCATAGAATACAGGTACTAGTACTTGAATTAACTTCAAACATTAATTATTTAATATTTTTTGAACAAACACAAAGATAAAATTGTAGGTCTATTTTAAGAATAGACAGTTTATTGATGGTATTAAAATTATAAAATAGAACACAATATAAGTGAAATACAATATAAAAATTGAATAATCTTTTTTCAAACACATAGAAAATCACACTTCATGATAGTCTTTTCTACAAAGCAAACCCAGATTGCAATGTTTTGGAGAGGGAACGTCTAGTAGGAAAAAATATTTTTTCAAATCTGCCCATTTGTTAACTCACAGATTAAAATGAATGTACATGTTACAGTGGAACATTAAAATCAGTGAATGTTGACAATCATCAGTGAATATCAACATCACCAATCCATGTATCATTACTTAGGTAACTAATGAGCATTTTTAATCAAATCAATCAAAAAATGTGGTTATTATTAATAATAAGTAGATTAATTGGAGTGATAATCCAAGAGGGTCTACACTTGCATGGAATTATCAACACGGTAGTCTTTAAGGTTCAAAACCAATGCCTGGGTAACACTTGCATACCCTCCAACTGCTACGGAATTTCCGTAGTTTCAGAAATCTTCTTTTCAGACGGTAGCAAAATTAATGTCTTAATATTTAAAAAAAATTAATTTTAGCGTAACTTGTCCACTATTACTTATAAAAGTGCAGGCCATATGGCTAGATTCTTAAGTTCTGATAAAAGTTTTATGAGAGATCCGATTGCTTTAAAAATTTCTACTTTGGTTCGCTACCACTAGAAAGAATTATTTTTAAAATCCTCATAAGTTGGAGGGTATGCACTTGCCCAGTACGTACATTCTTTAATTATAATGGTAAAAAAAAAATAAGCAACTTTAATTTAAACATTAGATAAGCTTACCATCATTAACTAGCCGACGAACATATTCTTTAGTTAAATCAGTCTGTTCATCCCACCATCGTGTAAAAAAGGCAGACTCCACATAGATAAATTTTCTATTTTCATTTTGCATGAGAGTACTAACAACAGAAGAGATTATTTCATTCACCCCTGCAATGAAAAATTTAAAAGTTGATATCAAAATAATTATACCTATTAAAGATTATTTCCCAAAGGGAGTTAAATCCGACAACATACACATGTTTACTTTAAAAGATTTTCATTTCGTAAAAATTATTGCTAGTTACTTTTACATTTATAAAGTCATGAAAAATATGAACAGAATGTAAATGTTTACAGATGTCGTATTAAGTGATCAAAAATCACAAAAAAAAAATTTATAAACTTAATCTAAACATATTTATTGCAAGAATACTAATCAAAATGAGGTTGCCTTAAGGCTGCAATGTTTTCAGAAGCAATGGTTTTGTAAGATGAAAAGAGAGCAACTCAGAATTTTCTGATCTAAAGTTAAAAAAAAAAAATTTAAAAAAATTTCGCTGCTAGACCTAAGACCATTTTCATGTGATGTTTAATTGAGGTAAGATGCATGCATAATTTAATTTAAAACTCTGCATTTTAAAAGATGAAGTAAAATTGCACACCTGAAATATTTAAAGGTGAGCCGGCAAATGGAATTTTATGCTCTGGTTCACAAAGATGCTGAGCAAATTTTTTTTTTAATATTTATTTCCTTATTTTCACAAAATTATAAGATTATTTATAAATTAAATTTGAAAATATACATTTCAGATAAAGGCAGATTATAAATATAGGAACATCAATTATGCTCTTAGAACAAAAGAAGGTCGACAAAACTTTTATACAATAAATTTTATGCACATGTGTATACATTGACGAGGTAGCACATAGTTGTGAACCATTTAAGGCTTTTCACCTTGAACAGTGTATTTACAACTTAATGCATAAATTGATTTATGAAAGAAGAGCAGAATAAACATGTATTAAAAATATATTATTGAATGCAATATGCATATCATATTAAATATCACTGACTTACACATGTCGTAATATGTGTCAACTGTTTGCAGCCACCCTACGTCATCATGAGTATGCATAATTATATGAAGATTTAACATGTTAGGTTTACCAGAAGGACAAGCCTGTAAAATAGAAAAGTTGCATTTAAAATAAATAGAACAAAACTGATTATATTTTAGCCTAAAATTTAAACAAAAAGTAACCTCCTCTATTTATGATCACTTTTGAGAGGAACAGAATTTTTTCCGTAGACTTTGTTTTGAAGAAAATAAAACTTCTCCCAGCGACCAGACAAACCTCTGCATTAAATGTGGAATAGGTCAAAAAAATATCAAAACAAATAAGTAGATTAAAATGTATCCTAAATATTTGTGTGAGGCTCCTAAAAAGAACTCTTTTTGACAATCTCTAGAAGAGATCTACAACCTCATGCTGCAGTTAGAGTGTACTAATAATGATGCTATCAATGTTTAGAGTTGAAAGTTAAATTACAAAAAAAGTGTTTTTAGAAAAGAACTAAACATCTCAAATAAACAAACCTCTTCTCATCTTTTAAAGATAATTTTTGATATAAAATTAAATGCAAAATTAAACAAAAAACACTTAAAATAGTCCTATTATTCATAATTAGTAAATTTGCTTTTACACATAATTATATCAGTAAGGATAATTTTTATGGACGCTAAATTTAATACATCGATCAGGTTTTCATGATGCCAACCCAAGTAGAATTTCCCCACAAAAAAAATAACCCTGACTAAAGTTAAAATAGTTAGTGAAAATCATGTACCTTCGATAACATTTTGAAGTTAATGGAGTAAACCCTTAAAACAACCAACCTCCATCAACATAATTATATAATTAATACAAAATACACATAAAATAAATACAAAGGTCACTTCAGTGTGCAACTAAACTGGACTATATGAAAAAAAAAAACATTTTTTCACTAAAGTTCCTTTAGTTTGTTTGGGAATCTGATATTTTACTAACTCACAGTAAAGTTAAAACAATATCTTACTCAAATAAAATATAATTTTTAAACAAATTTTTTATATAGTTATTGTTCCCGATCAACATTGAAATGTTATGATTGTTTCCACAGTTTAACTTTTAATGGCAAGCACACGATTTTCACAAGAGAATTATACAGAGCTAGGAAGTAACTCCCCATCTTATCCAATCTTCGTTTATCTTTCACAATTTGAGCTCACTAGCTGACTCATTGGATATTTATGTATTTCAGTCTAGCTTAGTATGATTGCTGATACTCTTTTTTAAAACAAAATTCTACAAACATGCAACATATAGATTCTCTAAAATTTTTGGATTTGTAAAAATTTAATTTAGATACATGATTTTATTAATTATGAATTTCATTTGTTATTTAGAGACACAACATGATTTTTTTTCTTACACAAACTCATAATTTTTTTAAAAACAGAAGGAAAAGATAATAAAAAGAAATAAATAGCATAGCTAGCCAATTGCCATGGCTGTCGTTTTTTTCTTACACAAACTCATAATTTTTTTAAAAACAGAAGGAAAAGATAATAAAAAGAAATAAATAGCATAGTGACCATCTGCCATGGCCGTCATTGATGCTATTAATGGGGGCATTCAGAAATGGAGAAAAAGAGGCAACACCCTCAGGTATCCAGCTATAAGCAGACATCTAACCGCCGACTAAAGTCTTAAATCTATTACATTTTGACTCAAAATTTTTTTAAAAGCAAATATTTGGTTCAAAATAATTATTTTAAGAAAAATGCAGTTATAAATCAAATTTAATTAGCAAATTTTAAGGTGGTTAAATAAAAAGAATTATTATCAATAAAATTTAAATATTTTTTAAATAAATAAAATTGAGAATATTTTATTTTTAACTACTCATTTTTACCCTATATTGATTTTAGCTTACATTAACATGAAATATGCGTTTAAATTTCTATAAAATACATCAGTCATTTCAAGGGATCTAATCGAGAAGTTTGTCCTGGGCACATCTACTGTAGAGACTCTAAATAATTAATGTTGCTTTTAACTCAAATTAATAGCCACAACTATCATATTTTTTAAAGAACATATTTTATTTAGAAGAGTAGAACAAAAATATTTTCATGTACAAAGGTAAATCATTTTTTAAAACTTATAGAAATAGAGAACATAAAAAAATACACTAACTGATCGTTATTCTTTAAATAGACATAATTTAAATTGTAGTGTTTAATGTTTTATGCAATTTCATGTAAAGAAAGATATGTCAAACAAATATATTACGAATTTTCAACAGGGTTGCCACTCAAATCTGGAGGGAAAAAAAATTTCCTGTGTTTTCCCAGTACATATTATAGACAATATATTAAGAGGAAAAACACAATCACAGTCCTCTTGTTTGAGCTATATTGGATTATAGATTGTTATAATTGCTGAAAAAACTTAAGAGAAAAAAGGAACAACTGAACATATTTAAAGCAAATAATGCTATAGTAAATGAACTAGTTTAATATGGCTGAAATATCATCCTTGAATATTCCATAGATTGCACTTTAAGAGTTTATAATTTTTTTAAAGATGAAAAAAGGAAACAAAATTCCCTGTATTTTCCCAGTTTCTAAAGGAAAACTCAAAATTCCCTGGATTTCCTCTGCTATTTTAGGTGATTATTAAATTCCTTATATTTTCCAAGTTTTCCCTGTGGAGGGGCAACCCTGTTTAATGTCTATATTAAAGGTTATTTATTTCATATTTGATTACAAATGCAATGAACGATAAAAATGAAAAGAGTTCATAAAACAGTCATAAAAACAATTAAACTTGCAAACAATATACTTGTATAATGTTAATCTGAAAGACAAAAGTTTGAAGCTGTTAATATTTCCATTGTCACTTAGGTGTATAGATAAGAATATTCAAATAAATACTGATTAAACATTCACCATTAGTGAATATTAATATTTTGGGTTTTGGGAGGGAAAAAAATGGGATATATTGATTTAATATTTTGAGCTCATAACATAGACTACGTAACTTTTGACAAAAAAAAAAAATCACTTATGGTGAAATTTTAGGAGGAAGCAACTAAGTAACATTTTTATTAATATGTTAAAGTTAAAACATAATTTGTCGTGCACAACACAGGACAGGATGTCACATTGATGAACAAGAGAACTTGTGCACTCAGTTGATAAATGGATTTGCTCCCTTTTATCTTTTTAGTAAAATACTATAAGTTTAACAATTTTATTGAAATAACTTGTTTAAATTACGTAAGAAAAAAGAATCATAATATATAAGGCTGAGGAAAATGTTGGAAAAGAAGGATCTTATGGACCTAATTTAAACTTTTGAGCAAACACGAGAAGGAAAAAAACTGATTGTATATGAACATTAACAGAGATTGTGTATAAAAGAAATAAGCTTCGTTCTCATCATAGAGCAACAAGATTAAATTCGACATTTGTCATAGTGAAACAAGATTAAAGTCGGGTACAATAAGATTAAGTCAGTTAAAGATTGGCTACTTTATTTTAGCCACTGCAAGGCACTTAGCTATATCTCATAGTATTTGCAAATTTTAAATTGGTCTTTCTTGAAATTTAAAATTCCATACAAAAATTCATTTTATTTCCAGTATGGAATTTAAGTTGATAAAAATAGCTAACTTCCACGCAACATAAATGGGTATACATTACCTATAATATTGCATAAGGACAAAAATATTGCACAAGTTAAAACTCTGAAATTAACTAAAGATCGAAAATTAATATTTGTTTATTTTTCATGGTCAGGACAGGTATCATTTCATTACTCAAACATATTTTCTTACAAATACAAAACATAAAAGACAGTCAAAATTGCAAAATAAAAATTCAACAGTACAACTCAATTACTAGAGCTACAAATTAAAAAATAAATAACAAGCACAATACTTTGCATATAAACTCATCATTAGTCATCTAAGTGGTAGTTTTTCCATTGCATTTTGAACAAGATTAAACATTGTAAAATAAAAACTGTCTCAAAATTTCAAGTTTTATGAAAAAATAAAACTATAAACAAATTTTTTGGATAAAACGAGAAGAAATAATAATAAATGTTGAGAAAAAATAAATGTAAGTAAATGTCGAGAAAAAATAACAATCAATATAAGTTTCTTAGAAAAAAATAAGTTTTAACAATTGTTTTTTACTGATATACATGCTGAATACAATTTATTAATAATTAAACAAAAATAACACTTTTCTTAATACTTTGCGCAGTGAAAAATTACTTTTAACTAAGACATAAAAATAAAAAGTTACATTATAATAGTTTATCTCGAAAGTGGGGACATTTCCCAATCAGTTACTGGTAGCATCAACAATTATCATCAAAAGATCATTGTTTTTCTGAATATTTTTAAAAAATATGTAGTAGTTAGCCTGGCCAATAATCTTTAAAGAATTAAGCAACTATTGGAGAACTTTAATTATTTTACATCCAAACTTTAATTTTTTTTAATTTAAACTTTAACAAATCAAGAGGTAAACACAGTGATCATAAATAAATTGTCAGGCAAACTATTCTTAACAGAATTAATTAATAAATATTTATTCAATATGCCATTTACATTTTTGGTCCTGCTGAAATCTATCAGATATCATGGATATTTCCATATTGATACCTGTTTGCACTAACTACAATTGCTGAGACACAAGAAAGTTTTTAAATTTCAAAATATTAAAGAAAAAAATGATGTAGAGGTTAGCCAAGGGATATTACAAATCACCATTAGAGTTGTTCGTCGACGTTTTTTTTAAGTTCCTAACATACCACTGTCTGAAAGTCCCCAAAATTTGATGAATATTTGGTGCAAGTACCACATGGAAATCGTCCCCAATAGTGAACTTTAAAAAAAATTACTATGAATAAAAATAAATAGAGCTTTCTAAATGAGAAAACCAATGATGTCTAAATATTAAGTTAAAGATATTGAACAAATGTATTAAAAATAGTTTCTGCACACAATAAAATTTTTAATAACAAAACAAACAAAAAAATTATTGATGCTTAGGACAAAAAAATTTATCTCTAGATTTACGTCTTCCAAAAACATGTCTCTGACAATAAGAATTAGGACAATCCTGGCACTGATAATAAGGTTCATTTTCACATTTTTGACAAATATGGGCTGGGCACTCCCATTTCTCAGTATTAGTATCTTTTTTAATTTTTACGCAACGATGATGATAAAAATAGTCACAAGCTTCCCTGGAACACCGAATAAGCATTCCACCAGTCTTACATATAAAGCACAAAGCTTTAACACCACCTAATCTTGAAATACAATTCCTCACAGTATTAACATTTGTTTCATCATGCTTTTTTAATTTACTTTCACTATCTAGGAAGGAGTGCTTAGGGCACACCAAATCCTCTAAATTAGAATCACTTTCAATTCTTAGACAAAAATTATGAAAAAATAATCCACAACCTTCATGAGAACACTCAATTAGTTTTCCACCAGTATGACATTGAAAGCACACAGCTTTCTTCTCGTTAAAATCGGAGGTATTACTTCTTTCAGTTGAATTAAGTTTTGTTTCATTTAACGAGATGTTTTTACCATTTTGACACAAATGAACAGGACATTCCCATCCTTCAGGATTAATATCTTTATCAATCTTCAGGCAACGATGATGATAAAATAATCCACATTCTACCCGAGAACATTCAATCATCCTTCCACCAGTCTTGCATTTAGAGCACATTGCTTTCACACCATTGATTCTTGTGATAGAACTGTCCTTCTTTACATCATTAACATTTACTTCAACATTTCTCGCATTTAAATCTTCTGTTTTTCTTTTTTTGTGTTTTGAAAATGAGACTTCACAAAAACTGGAGTCAGATAATTTCCTTTTCTTTGTATTTTTCACTAAAGTAGCTTCTTTGTCAGATAATTTAAGTTTATTTTTATGAGAATTTTTTCTTTTATTTAAATCCTCCACTAACAAGTTGTCATTAGGATTAGAATCTGTATCAGAACTCGAGCTAGATCGCTTTCTCTTATTGTTTTTTACTATAACAGTTTCCTTACTGTTGCCATTGGAGATTTTCTTTTTAGTAACAAGTTCAACTTTAGAAGATGTAGATTCTAGGTGAAGACTACTCTTACTTTTAGCAACTGTTTTTATTGTAAGATCATTCTTATTATTATCCTTGGAGGTTTTCTTTTTGGTAACATTTGTTTTAAAGTCAATGTCAATTTTAGAAGTAGGTACAGATTCTAGGTCGAGACTATTCTTAGTTTTAGCGATAATTTTCACTTGAAGAATATTCTTGCTCTTATCATTGGAGGTTTTCTTTTTAGTTCCCTTAGCGTCGGAAAGGTCAGTTTTTGAAGTAGAGGCAGATTCTAGGTCAAGATTACTTGTTTCAGTCTTTTCAAAGTCTGTTGTTATTCCCTGCCCCTTTAGAGGTTTTTTCCCAATAACACCACTGCATCGAGCAGAGCCACAGTTACAATTAAGTTTCTTATTAAACCGAGAAAAATCCATTTGGTAATCAAAAGTTAATTCAGTTCCAGCTTTAATATCTTTTCTAGCAAATAGACCGATTCTGGGATCACTATTCACAATCCATTTCTGCATTTCACAATTAGGTTCACAGGAATGGTTCATAAATCTAGAATAATTTCCTTTAGGACCAGCGTCAATTATACGATTAGAATCCAAAGTGCAAAAGTAAAAGTTTGTGTCACCAACCATTTGTTTCTGTTTTGTTCTACGTTCACATTCCTCTTCATCAATCAAATCACCAACATATTCTATAACAAATTGACCACACTTAATATCTTCTTTAGCCTTCAAGCCCCAACCTCTATTATCAGTATAAAATGGCTTGCAAGGGGCATTCTGTACATTAACAAACTTACGATTCTGACAATTTTTACCAACTTTACAGTTATAATCATTGCATTCATGAAGCATACTACGATTGAGGCAGAAAGTATAATCTCCACATGGATTAGGGTCAGAATCTTTACAACCACATGTATGAGTATCGTCTGCATCCAAACAACTATAAATTTGAACATTGCCAACAGGACGATTAGTCTTAATGTGCACATAAGGGGGTAGTTTTTTTGTATTAAAAGATTCAATAGATCTTAGTGCCTTTTTATTCATTGTAGCAGACATGGCCAATTTCAATGCATTTTCAAAGTATGGATTAGGTATGAATTTTTTAAATTTATGTTCAACCTTCTCTTCTGAAGAAATTTTTTTATAAACAAAAGGATAAGCACGTCTTGAATTGATCCAGAAATATTCCTCAGTTCCAAAAAATTTTACAGGAAATTCGCCAATAGAATGTGGGACTTCTTGCACATTGTTTGGAAGGTCACAAGTCTTAACAATTTCAGCTGGCCACCACTGAAAATCACACACCCGAGCCCAAACTATGTCATTATAGCGCAATGTTTGGCGAGTTTCACATCTGTCACAGATATAACATTCAGGAGACTTAATTTTAATACACTTAATATGAACAGATGCTGGACAAAGTTTGCAGAATATTAAATTTTTGTTACCTCCACAAACAATGCAAAAAGTTAGGTTTATAAAAACTGATTCAGGCTTATTTTCAGATGGACAATGCTTTGAACATGATATATTATCTGCTGAAATTACAAAACCTGGTATGAAACACTCATCCCTACAGTGAAATGCAGTAGGGCACTTAGAACACATGTACATGTCACCTTTTGAAATTTGAGAATTCTTATGATTCATATTGTAACAAGGTAAACAAATATGAAGTGGACATGTGTTAGAGTCAGATTTAACAATATTTGGATATCTTTTAAAACAAGGAGCATGATATGTTTTACGACATGATTCAACAGAGCAAACAATTAAATCAATGCCAGTTCTTTTACATGCAAAACACACATTTTGTTCAGTTTCAGAAGGCACAATAGATTTTAAGCTGTTACAAGTGACTTTTTTCGCTATGACATTGCACATTGACTCCTTGTCTTGCTTTTTTACATCTATGAATTCAGCACTTTCAATAAAGCAAGAATCAATGGGTGTATATTTGTTTTTATTTTCAATTTTATCATTAACTTTATATTCTAGATCGTCCCCTTCATAAGGAGTTTGCTTATTTAATTCTATAAAAGCTGTACTAGCTAAACATATAGATTTTGAGACTTGCTTTAGATTTTCTTTTTCAATTAAGTTCAAGCCGATATTTTCATTTATCATTATCTCATTCTTGTGTTTCAGTTCTACATCACAAACTTCTGTTTCTAATTCAATAGCTTCATAACTAGATAAGTTTTTTTCCTCCAATTTCTTAGAATTTATAAAAGAGTCTTCAACAAGCTCAGATGATTCAAGATCTATATTGTTAACAACTCCATCATGTTCTTGATTTGCATTGTAAATTGCATTATCAACCTCAGAAGAATCTTCTTCTAACTCTACACTGTTTGTAGAAACATCAATTTTAATAATTTCAGGCCCAGTATTTGCATCCTTGATTATTTTATTATTTTGCTTCAAGTTTTCATCACTAACATCATTTTCTGGTATAACACCTTCATAATTAGAAACAGCTTTTTCCTTCAGTTTTATAACATTTATAGAGGGATCAGTTTTTACAAAATCCTTAGATTTGGGACCTATATGAATAACTTCCTCTTGTTTATGTCCTGTATCGGAATTTTTAATATTAACTCTAGAACATTCTTTATCGAAATCTAAATTACTGCAAGAAAGATCAATTTTAACGATTTCAGATTGGATATTTGCATTCATGATTATTTCATCTTTTTGTTCCAATTTTTCATCACAATTTTTGTTTTTTAGTTCAATAGCTGAATAATTAGATTCAGTTTTTTCAATCAATTCCACTTCAACCAGCTCTGAAAATTCAGGATCTTCATTGTAAATAATTTCATAATGTTTCATTTGTGCACTACAAATTGGGTCATCTCCGCTAGAATTGTCTTCTTCCAACACTACGCTGCTTGTAGAAAAATCAATTTCAATAATTTCAGAGTCAATATCAATATTCTTGATTATTTCATTCTTCTGTTTCAGTTTTTCATAACTAACTTCATTTTCTAGTTCAATATCTTCACAATCAGATTTAGCTTTTTCCTTGAGTTTCACAGCATTTTCCGAGGAGTCACTATTAACAGACTCTGAAACTTTAGAATCAATATCAGAAATAACTACATCTTGTTTTTGTTGAGCAATTACATTGTAAATTGCAATATTATTATTAGAGTATTCTTGATCAGATTCTACACTACTTGTAGAAATATCAATTTCAATAATATCAGAAGCATATTTTTTACTATCTATTTCAATTATTTGTTTTAGATTTTCATCATTATAGGAATCATCTAATTTAATTTTGTTATGATTACACATAGATTCTGCTATTGTCTCTAATATTGCAATAGATTGGTCAATAATAATTTTGTCTTGTTCTATATTGTGAACCTCATTTTTAAATTCACTCATTTCACGGTCACTTTTCTCTGGTTCTGTGTCATTTGTAGAAATATTGATTTTTATTTCAGAGATATCTTTAACAAAGATTATTTCCTCACCTTGATTTCGAGGTTCAAAACTAGTCTTATTTTCTAATTCGGCAATTTTTTCACTCAGTACAGATTGAACAACTTGCTCTATCTTATCAGCAGAAGCATTACCTTCAATAACATTTGATGAGTTATTTTCCACATCACAATTTTGTTCAAAAGATTCATCACTAATTACATTCTCACATTGAATAATTTCAGAACTAGGCTCACGAAATTCATCATTAGTGTTTTTTATATTTTGACTAATTTTTTCACTCGTTACAGTTTGAGCAACTTGCTCTATCTTATCAGCAGAAGTATTACCTTCAATAACATTTGACGAGTTATTTTTCACATCACAATTTTGCTCAAAAGATTCATCACTAATTATATTCTCACAATGAATAATTTCAGAACTAGGCTCAAGAAATTCATCATTAGTGTTTTTTATACTTTGACGAACTTCACAATATTGTTTGAGAGTTTCACCATTAATTTCACTTTTACATTGTATCACTTCACAATTTTGTTTAAAAGATACATTTGCTACGCCTTCACATAATGTATTCTTAAAAACATTTTTGTCAATATCACAATTTTTAACAAATTTATTTTGTTTACCTACATTTAGGCTAAAATTCATACAATCTCCAACCTTATCCAGAGGTACATTTTCTGTTATAACTTCTATTTGAACAATGTCACTCTCAGTTGAATTTTCTGCTCTTTGAATTAATTGAACAACTGGAGCTTCCTTTAATTCTTTTTGGAATAAATTCAAATTATGCTTAAATTCATTTGATGTATCAGAAATTGGTTCAAAAGACTTAGTCGGGGAATCCAGAAGGTAAGTATTACAAACAGAACTTCCATCATGCTCAAGAACAAAGTTTTCAACGGGACACAAACTTCCAGCGTCATCAGCACTGTTATTAGAAAATTTGTTGTTATAACAATCCAAATTTAGATCCTTATCATCACTGGGAATAACTTTCATGGCATTATCTGCAACAGAAATGTCTCTCTCAGAATAAGAATGGGGAGTATTCTTTCTGGTACCTTTTTCAATAACATCTGATTGGCAGAATTGTTTTTCTCTAGTACTATTATTATTGGCTGAATTTAATACCAGAACTCCTGGTTCATCAATACTATTGCTCAGTATTTTTTTTGTACATAAAATATCACTGTCAGCAAACATAATTGGTTTATTGTGATTATTTAAACCATTTTCTACAACATTAAAGTGAGTATCTTTAGTACTATTGAATGATTCATTTCTACATTGGTAAGAATTAAATTGCTTATGACTTTTTACAAATGTAACATCAGGTTTTGATTTATCTTTAACATTGGTTTCATTTATAACTAAAATTGACCTTTCACCTTTTTCCATCACAGAAATATTTTTTAGATCACCATTTTCTCCAGGCAAAGTATTTAAATTGAAACTTTTTGAAATATCATTTTCAAATGTTTTTGTTTCAGCTTCAGAAATGAAGTTGATATTTAGAGAATTCATTTCACAATTTTCTTTAAAAGAACACATTTTAAATTGCTTGAAGCAACATCAAGTACTAATGTAAATACAGGAAATTGAAGAAAACATTACACCGCGTGTTCTGAATTAAATCAATCGACTTTATATTTATCAAGAATGACTATTTAACATTTCGAAGAAGTCTTCATAAATTTTACTCCAAAAACATATTTCAAAATAATACCAAACAGTGAACGAATAAATACACATCTTTCTTAAAAATTGAATAATTTTTTTTAATGCATCAATATAAACAAACAAAAAAGTCGGAAATTGCGGGCAATCAGAACGATTAATGATAATGATTAATCGATTTTTTACAGTAATAATGATTTCGATACGATATGCATTAAATTTTTAGTTTCATTTATTTCTTTATTTTTTCTATTAAACATTTGGAGTCTGAAAAATTAGTTTACAGAACACTTATCTGAAGTGATTTGTAATGATTTTTCAGATTTTACAATGTTATAAATTAACGAGACGAAGTTAAGGAGTTGTGGTGACAAAAACACAAGAGATAAAAAAAATAAAAAATCTTGAATGTTTCAGAAGTGTCGTGTCGCCATCTTTTAACAACATTATTGAGCAAAACTGAAACTGAAAATTCATAATAATTTTTTTTCTTATGACTCCAGTAGATATCCGATTTCTTTTGCAAAAGAAACTGTTTTTACAATGTAGCTCACTTAAAAGAAAAGATTGCTTTATCAATCACATTATTCGTTTTTTAGAAAAATAGTTTAATATATTTTATTATACCAAATTTTTATTATACCAAATATTTTATTATACCATATTTATTTATACCAAAGAAAAAAAACGTAGATTATTTTAGTCCTAAAATCTATTTATATGTCCTTATAAAAAAGTAACAATAATTACAAACAAAAAAAATTGCTTACAATCTAAAGCTATTGCAATTAGTCACAGATATATTCAGATTTTTACATTACAATGAGAATTTCACATCTATCTCTTTCTCTATTTTTTTTTTTTTTAAAGTTTTAAAAAAGAAATAAACAGACTTCAGAAGAATGAATACTTTTGATCTATTTTTAAAACGTCGTACAACCAAAAATGTGAGGATCATTTAAAAAAACTAACAAAAAAAACATTTCAATGTCATCACATAGTGCGTCATAAAAAACTATCCAATAAAACTGAAAAATCACTTAAATTAATAGCTTTTTTTTAAAAAAAAAAAAAAGTTCCTCTTCTAGATTTGAGCTGTTTATTTTAATCTAAGTTTAAACAAATTTTGCATAAAAACCCAACCTATTTTCTCAAAAGATTCAAATATGAGAATTGTCTTACCTCATAACCACAAGAAGATGCAGAAATATATTTCAAAAAGTTTGCAATAAGCAAAATAATCATGTGAGACTTAATTTCCATGCTTAAAATGCCTTTCGTACGTTTTCAAGTTTCACTGGGTGACCTGTAAATTAAATAATAGATTTCAATTAATCCATACAACAGCCATACAAAAGTGTATAATCTTATTTCATTCATTTAATAACCTATATATCTATTTTATTTTATTCTAAACAATCATATGATACACGTACAGTGACAGTGAATACTTTTTCCAACATTGCTTTTTAAAAAAAGACCAGATTTAATAAATGAAATATGGATGGCGGCATTATGATGACTAAAATAATAATTAAAAAAATATTAATGTTAAATGAGAATAAATTTTTGGCTTTCGATTTAAAAAAATTGATATTTAATTATAACTCATTTAATCACTAATTCGGCTATAAATAAATATATTGTAGCAAGAGACAGAAGTGGTTTGATACAAATAAACTTTAGCGATATTAACCCTTTGACGCAGATGGAATACCAATTCCTTTTTTGTCGTCAGAGCAATTACAATTATTAAGCAATTACAATTAATTAGAGTAATTACAAGCAACAATATACATTGGTATTTTTTAACTACAAAAAAAAAAAGTTTAATATTTACTAAAAGGATTTTTTGGATTGGCCGAATTACATTTGTACTAAAATATGCAATTCAAAAAAAGTAGTTTGAAGATTTTTTTCCATCCATATACAAAAATTTATCAAACACTGATTTTGTAAATTAAAACAAAATTCAATATATAAATGACTGATATTTTATATTGAAATAAGTACTAATTGGAAATATTGTTGATTGTAAGTGAGCCATGTTTGTTAGATTTTATCTTTAATACGGAAAGGGACACCCGGGTATGTATTTCATAATCATATGCTATTAAAATGATAAATATAATATTCGCACTTATTTTTTAATATATTATTATAAATTAATTATAATGATAATTTCGCATTAATTTATTATAAATTAATACAAAATAATAAAAAGTATGTTAAGTAAAAATTCCGCGTCAGCTATGTTGAAAAAAATTTCAGTATTAATTCTATTTCACTCTAATAGTCAGCATTTTAAAAGTGTTGAAGATGTTTATCGTTTACTTGGTTTAACTTACATTAAAATGAATAAATAAATAATAATTTTAAGATAACTAATTAATTTTAAACCCATTAAGAATAATATTGTTATAAAATTAATTAGATAACAAATTAATTTTAAAAATTGACTATATAGGCAAAATGATTACAAACGCAAGAGTTCTAATTGGCACTTTAAAAAGCAATAAATTTAATTAAAATGAATTTATTTTAAGAATAGTGAACAAATGTTTAATTCTGTCTGGCATAATAACTAAAAATTAATTTAAATATTAATAATTTTCTATTTTTTCCCCATAGATACATTTTTTAATTTGCTTAAAACACATGGTTTTAGAATAATTTATATTTAGAGTTGAACCAGAGCGTATCCAAACGCAGAATGCGAATACTTTCACTATGTCAAAATATTCGCATTATTTTTGAAGGCAGTAAAGAATTCAATTTAAACAAACAATGAAATAAATTAATGCATTCATTTTCTACTTCGTGGGAAAAATTTATTTCAAAACAATAGCAGGTCTCAAAAAATAGCATAAATACATAAAAAAAAATTATGTTTTGAAGAAATAAGGTATGGGTTTAAAAAATTATTACTTACATGCTAAAAGAATACTAATTAATTATGCTTAATTACAATTTAATTATTTGTGAAATGAATTAGAGGAGAGGAACAAAGTCAAAAAAAAAAAAAAGCTTTAAATTTAAATCTTTTTTTTCTTCCTCTTTCGATTGTCAAAACAGTCTTATGCAGTGAAGTGTGTCGTTTAATTTTAACCGGTCGCCTTGAATTGAAATCAAAATCATTTTGTACTTTCTGTAATTTCGCTTTCATTAGTGTTAAAATTAATTATTAGAATTAAAATAATTTAATTTCATTAGTATTAAAATTAATTATTATTAAATTAATTAGTATTCAATTAATTATTATTCAATTAATTATTATTCAATTAATTATTATTCAATTAATTATTATTCAAATTAAGTATAACTCAAATTAATTTATTTAAAATTAAGTATTATTTATTAATTATTAGTATCAATTAATTATTTTTAATTATTTCATTAGTACTAAAATTATTTTCCAAAATATTTTTAACCTAATTTTAATAACTATTTTGCGAAGATATTGATCTTAAACACTTTAAAGCAATCGAGTTAATTAATATGTTATCACTGTATATTTTTTAAGATAAAACTTGGGTGCATTGCCGAGAAAACTGGAAATCAGTGGACGGGACATCACATATTTCACCACCAATAGGTTAAGCGAAAAAAATCTTGCTGACAAAAATAATTAGCATTTTCGAATTTAGAATAGAACATAATATTAATTTTCAGCAATAAAAAAAAAATGCTTTTTTGGGATCGGAAATTTGAAATAAATTCCGTCAGAGAAGAGATTGATTTTTTTTTAAAATATATAACGATAAAACACAACTTACATGTCATTTAAAATAATAATAAACATATAATTAATGCTACCTAACAATTTTTAGAAATATTTGTACGTCAGATTGTTTAAAAATTAGGATAAATAATTAAATAAATAGTGTTTCATCAGAAAGTGATAAGGATACAAGAATAATAAACAAATAATATTTGTTTAAATCCATAAAACTTTAGGCACATTTGGACTACGTTATGTAAAACAAGAAACTCAAGGATTAATAAACATTTATCGAAATCAAATCCTATCTTGCTCATCTAAATTAAAAGAAAAAGAAGTCTCATTGCGACGAGGGAAATGAGATAAGAATAGATCGAAAAGGAAACGTTTCCGCGTCATTTATACAAAATGCTACATTATTTATTTATCTTTTAAGTCTATAAAATATTGCTTCCATTAATAGTATTTTTTCGATTAGAATAGTTATTAGAATAATTTAATATTAAAAGTTAGCAAACGATTGGGAATACCGCTTATAAAATCACTTGCTTTAAAACCATTTTCATTTCAAAATATTAATTTTAAATAAAATAAAATATACAATTATGATATAACACTTAAAAAAATCTGAGCATATTCCTTAACATTATAGATGAGATTAGACTCAGACTACTAGTAAACAATTTCGAATACCGTTTATAGAATCATTTGCTCTAAGACTCATGCCTTTTCAGAATAAAATATTAGGTGAAATTAGACTAATTTTATTAAGAAATGATTCTAAATACCGTTTATTACCTATTATATGATTATAGATATAGACTTATATAGATTATCGAAGACACACTCATTTTCATGTAGAAATATTAATTTCTAATAAAATCAAAAATATAATTGTTATATACCCCTTGTAGACTAAACTTCACTCTAGGCTGAACTTCAAAACTGAGATCTGCGACGCTGACGTCACATTTTTTGCTCTAATAAGACTTTGCATAAAGAAGCGGTTGCATTTCAGTGACAGTCAATAATAAAATAAGTCGATTTTTAAAATTTAATCGGCAAAAACGAGAATCATAGCAATATCAAAACATGCTAAATCCATCATTTAGTTTCATAATCGCCATTTTGTAAAAGTGAGATTTTTAGGACCTATGTTTAAAATAATAAATAATTTTGATTTTTCTTACTATTTTCTCAAGTTTTTAAAGCATATAATAACAAATTCCATTGTGCCCCAATAAACAAACAAACAAAAAATAAAAAATAAAACAATTACAGCAGGAGTGGATTACGTTTCTTAAGGAAATTGAGCGGAATTATGAAATTGGTTGGGTAAATAAATCCAAATGAAAACTGTTTTTGAATTAATAAAATAGTTATATAGAGTGATTATCATTCAAAAACAATGATGGTCACTCATGCAGTAAGATAAATCTAGCTTCAAACGACGTCAGAAGCGTTTGATATTTTAAAATAAATTTTAAGTTTAAGAAAAGGCAATACTAAAATATAAATTGCTTAAATTTTAAATTTTGATTGTCAAGAAAAGCATGTTAATATTTTAAAACCCTTCGCTATTAAATTAAGAAAAAAAATAGAGCACATGCTCAATAAAGTATTAAATATGCAGATTCAGTAAAAATAAAATGTAAGTCTAGTAATCAATTTAGATTTTAGTGTATTTGCCGAATTCTAACTGATATTTTTCTTCTTTAATGTAGACAATCCTGTTAAAAAAAAAAAAAAAAAATTGGCCTTCTATTAAAATAAAATGCTCTCAGATTGGTTGTTAATTAGCGCATGATTTTAACAATCTGCACTTCCTTGATTCATACATAACGATTTAGTACAACATAAAGAAGTAATGAAAGATGGCTACTGAGTTTTACGAGGAAGGACTCAAAAGCTAATAAAGTTGTTAAGATAACAAATCAAAGTTTCCTATCTCGTCCAGAGAAAAGATAATGAGTTAGTGCTAGCGTTTATGCAACGCGATGAACTGACAAAGTGACAATAGCAGCTGGACTCGCATCTTAAACTGGAATTCGTGACACTAAACGGCCAAGAATGTGATCATAAACTTAAGTTGTCGAATGGAATTAGAGAAAAAGCCACAGTGAAATGAAAAACACAAAAACATGATCGGAGTTTTTGAAAAAGTTTGGAGAAGTCCTTCGTTTAATAATGTTTTTATTTATTTATTTATTTTTAATAACCGTCGTTGAACAGCCGACCCATTTTCGGAGGGCTTACAACTACTAATGTTCAACTCCGTAGCCTTGTAATTTTGAACCCAATCCAGAAGACAAGGGAACTCCTGGATGGAGAGAAAATTTGCCTTCACTTTTTGTGGCAACTATCCAGCATTTGCGTTACTCGGACAAGGAAATCACGAAAACTTCCCACTGTTAGACTGACGGTAAGGGGACTCAAACCCCATAATCCATGTACCGTTGAGGATATTTCACGTCAGCACTGTGGTCGGGACAAACCGGATGCTGAATTCGTATCTGCCAGCCATTGCTGGGAATCGAACCCGGTTCACCTCATTGGAAGGCGAACGCTCTATCCTCTGAGCCATC